AACCACTTTGACGGAAGCGTAGACCTTCTCGACGATCTTGATGACCACTACACGGCCAAGACCCACAAGATCGAGCGAGCCCAACTGATTGTAGAACTACAAAAAATCTCCGCCGAATTTTCAGTACGAACTACAATCCTCGGAGGCGATGTCCATTTAGCAGCTCTAGGCCGCTTCTACTCCAACCCCAGCCTCAAGGTTCCCACCGAAGAAGACAGCAGATACATGGTCAACGTAGTCTCGTCAGCCATCGTCAACAAGCCTCCACCACAGGCTGTCGCCAACCTCCTGGCAAGGCGAAACAAGATCCATCATCTCAACTCCAAGACGGACGAAACTCTGCTGGATCTATTCGACAAGGACCCCGGCAACTCTACCAAGACTGCCAGCCACAATAGCTGCACAATGCCCAGTCGCAACTTTGCTCTGCTGACTGAGAATTCTCCTACAAGAAGCCCCGATGGCTTTGTGCCAGGGTACGGCGCCGATGCACCTTCGCATTCGTTCCTGGGTTCTGATGGCCACTCGCCCTTGCATCACGGTGAGGTTGGGGCTGGCACAAAGCACAAGGCAGCTACAGATGCAGGCCATGGCCAAGGCCACGACGGTAGCTTGGACATTCGCATCAACGTCGAGATTGACCAGCACAATCCAGAGGGCCTGACGGAGAGCTACGGCTTGACCGTGCCGCTTCTGACATATCGTCCAAGGACCGAAGCGTCCTCAAGGGCTGTATCCACTGCCACTAGCCAGTAGAAACGACAGCGGCGAAGGAGAATCTGGTTTTTGGTGTACGGTTCGTGGTTCGTGGTATGAGTCTCGGTCTTCATGATAAGATACCCCCAGGATGTTGCAGAGGAAGAGGGTTGATGCGTTGGACGTGATGACAACTAGCCAAATGCTGGCATGATTAAGAGAAGGGAGATACCGATGATGCAAGGCAGGGGACGGAGCACGTCTGACATGCTGTAATAGATGCCTAATAACTTTCCTTTTCGAGTGTATAGTCATTCGCTAGAGTTGGGCGGCTTGGTGTGCAGTGTATTCGGTGTATTCTAGTACGTAACTAAGAGACCCAAAATCTTTTCAACCATGCTTAAGCGCAGCAAAGGCAGAGAGAAAGAAAAAAAAACCTCTTTTCCCCTGTGGCGTGTGGTGTTAATAGTGCCAGGTACACATTCATCATTAGGTTAGCAGGTAGATAGTGTAGATAGTGTAGATAACTTAGTACAGATTAAGCACCAGAAACTCCACCATTTACAAAGCCTCCAACTACCGACCGATCTTCATTTTGCTGCACGGCTCTCGACGGAGCCATTGGCCAGCCACTGTCCGACGTCGGTGCCCCAATTGTCCAATCCCCAGACGCTTAATCGCCTTGCATCTGGGGAATTCTAGGTTAAAGTCTGCTAACGTCACGGTGGTGGCCCCCACTGCCCCTCATCTCCAATCGCCTTTAACCCGCGATAAGCCGAGAGCATTGCAAAACACGATAATAGGCACACGAGGATAAAAAGATAAGACATTGGGGGAAGAGCCTGTCTTTCCCATTTTTTCCTTTTCTTTTCTCTGAGGATCTTTTCTTATTTGTTGTGATACCATACTCGACGACGAAGTCGAAGGAGAAGAGGAGCGTTTCCATTTCATATTCCATACACAATGCAATCTGCTATGCTGAGAAGAGCCGGCGCAAAGGGCCTGCGCAACTGCGGGTGCCGAACATCAAGAGCTTCTATGGCGACGCTCGCGACGTTTAGGCCTCCGACCATTACCAATGAGCCCAACGTGAGTGAAGACCAAATACAGACAAGGAACCATTGCATTGGTGCTAATGTTGAGTCCGTGTAATAGCAACACTATGCCAAGGGCAGCCAGCAGCGAGAGGGTCTGACAGCGGCCGTGGAGAAGCTCCAGCAGCAGCTTCCTCTCGAAGTCCCCGTCGTCGTTGGAGGCAAACAGGTGCGTTGACTCATATGACGAGATGATTGAATCTTGTCAGGGATACATACAAGCTCTCAGAGCCGAGAAGAGGAGCTAACAGACCGTCCAGATCAAAACCTCCTCCCTTTCCAAACAGCTCAACCCTTCAGACCACTCCAAGACCGTCGCCTCTTACCACACTGCCACTCCCGCCGATGTCTCCAAGGCTATCGACGCCGCCCTAGCCGCAAAGCCGGCATGGGAATCCCTCCCCTTCGCCGACCGCGCCGCCGTCTTCCTCAAGGCCGCCGACCTCATCGCCGGCAAGTACCGCTACGACATCATGGCCGCCACGATGCTCGGTCAGGGTAAGAACGCCTGGCAGGCTGAGATCGACGCCGCCGCCGAGCTGGCTGACTTCTTCCGCTTCAACGTCAAGTACGCGGAGGAGCTGTACAGCCAACAGCCCGAGCACCATTCGCCAGGCGTGTGGAACAGGCTTGAGTACCGCCCGCTCGAGGGCTTCGTCTACGCTGTCAGCCCCTTCAACTTTACAGCCATTGCTGGCAATCTGCCTGGTGCCCCTGCCCTGATGGGCAACGTGGTTGTCTGGAAGCCCAGTGACTACGCCATTGCATCCAACTGGCTCGTGTACAATATTCTGCTGGAGGCCGGTCTCCCCAAGGATGTTATCCAGTTCGTGCCTGGTAACCCCGTGGAGATCACCAAGACAGTCTTGGAGCACAAGCAATTTGCGGCCCTGCACTACACCGGCAGCACAGCCGTGTTCCGGAAGCTGTACGGCGCCATTGGCGAGGGTGTTGCTGAAGGCAGATACGGATCGTACCCCAGGATCGTAGGTGAGACGGGTGGCAAGAACTTTCACCTGATCCACCCATCTGCCGATGTTGAGAACGCCGCTGTGCAGACCGTCCGCGGTGCTTTCGAGTACCAGGGACAGAAGTGCAGCGCCACGTCTCGCGTCTACGTTCCCAAGTCTCTCTGGCCCGAATTCAAGGAGCGCCTCGTCGCTGAGACCAAGAACCTCAAGCAGGGCGTCCCATGGGACCATGCGAATTTCGTCGGCCCCGTCATCCACGAGGCGTCCTTCAAGAAGCTCTCTGGCTTCATTGACGAGGCCAAGAGCGACAAGGACCTCGAGCTTGTCGTCGGCGGCACCTACGACTCTTCCAAGGGCTACTTTGTCCAGCCCACCATCTACCGCGCGTCCAGCCCTTCCCACAAGTTCCTCTCCACCGAATTTTTCGGCCCCGTCCTCACCACTTACGTCTACGACGACGCCGCACCCGACGCCTTCTCCAAGGCCTGCGAGCTCGTCGACTCTACCTCCGAGTACGGCCTCACTGGATCCGTATTCGCCAGCGACCGCGAGGCGCTCCGCCTCGCTGAGGAGAAGCTGCGCAACGCCGCAGGCAACTTCTATATCAACTGCAAGAGCACTGGTGCCGTGGTTGGCCAGCAGCCCTTTGGCGGTGCCCGAGCCAGCGGCACTGACGACAAGGCCGGCAGCGCGAACCTCTTGACAAGGTTTGTCAACATTCGGTCGATCAAGGAGGAGTTTGCGACTACGACAAAGGTGCTGTATCCTAGCAATGAGGTTTAAGTAGAATTACCCGAATCCTACTCGGTATATACTGTATATAATAGGGGTTACACTTGATGGATGGCGTCGTGTCTTTGTGCTATTGTTTACTATATCATTATTACATAAAAGCGAGAAAAAGTTCAAATATATCCCAGCAAACGCTTGACTCAAAACCCAGTAAATCAGCCTCTCCAGCCTCGGCAGTACGGACTTCAATTTACTGGTTTATTTAGCCAAGCGTGTACCGATATGTATCTCGACTTTTTCTCTTTATCTACGCCATAACTGGCATTGGGCGGGCAAGAGACTTGCCCGCATGTATAAAGCCTCTGGTGGTCGGAGAATACATCTTATGCAGCATTTAAAAGCCAATTGAAGATTTGACATGATTGGATTCGGACTGTGCCGTGTTGCGAAAATCTTATTTCGTGCACAATCCCCGGCCGCATGACTGTCGACTTCACACGAGTAAATTGCTGGACCTTAGTGGCAGCCAGGTAGTACTGCAAAATTCAAAAAGTACGGGGTATGACTCAAAGAAGCTTACCAAGACTGCAAAATCTTACGATATACACACTTGCTACAAGAGTAAAACAACTTAGAATCTTAGTAAAAAGCTTGGCATTGGGGATCGGCCGCAAGACAAAAACATAAAAATAAGGTACGCGTCTGTCTCTCTAGTTGCTGCGAAACGTGTGCCATCCTATTCGTATAAACGAGGCTTGCTCCGAGCTGGACATCAAGACAAGGGGTCTTGGTGCAAAGTACAGGCACTATCACTATTCCACTGTCCGAATGTTCCGAGCTGTTGCCGTACAAATTGTGCAAAACACAAGTCCGCGGCGAGAGCATTAGCATTACATGTTATTGACGATGGGTTTGAGGCGCAGCTCCCAGGGAGAAGTATAAGTGCACGCTGAGTGGACGCTCCTCTTTTCTCCTCTCCCCCCAATCATCCCACTTTATATTCCGCACAGTCCGGGGGATCTAAGCTTGCCGAATTGCCGTTGTGGAGAGGGTTACACCTTATATGCCGGTACCTTGACAGTACCGGCTTTAATTTACTGCTTTGTTGGTTGCGAGCACATGCTGAGCTTGACTACGGCCTTGTCTCTTTCACCCAAGATATGACAGGCTGCGCGAGTAAGAGTGAGACACACTAAGCGATGGTGTTGTGAAGATTGTCAAACTGTGACGTGACATTCCCTGCAAGCCACAACTCCGAGCTCAATTGGCCGAGCTCAATGGGCTCTGGCTTAGCAGGAATCCCAGGTTTCTAGAACTCGCTTGCTTATCGCCCTCTTCTCTAGCACACACGGAGGCATTGAGTGGCGCACACCCACCGCCCTCCCATCAGAGAAGGGGACCTGACGATTGAAATCGGCCAGCCGAAATAGCGTCGCCGAGGAGGGTCCTCCCCCCCCCCCCCCCCCCCCCCCCCCCCCCCCCCCCCCCCCCCCCCCCGCCCTTTGGACACATTTTGCCACTGGACACGCGAGCTCGTCCAACGTGGGTTGCTCAAACCCAAACCCAAGAGAAGCTGTAAAAAAGTGGATGGGCGGAGGGTCTGTGCAGATGTCATCAAAGGACGCTGTGAGGCTTTTGGCGAAAGAGAAAGGGTGGAAGCAAGCACGATACGAAGTAGCAGCATGTGGCATGTAAGTGCTAGGACCGAACGCAAACAGCCACGGAGAGCGCCATGGCGTAGGGGACAGCACCCAATGCCGCCCCCAGCACAGACAATGGCCGTGTATGTGCAATTGACAATTGACATGCACAGAGCTCATCGCACGCCAACCCGTAGCTCGAGTTTAATATACCCGCTATACATGGTTGGAAGGGCACGAGGGCACGAGACTCACCGGCGAGGTCTGAGAGGACGAAGCTGCCCATGTCGACGGCAAGTGGGCCGAAATAACAAGCAGAGAGGGATAAAAGCAGAGGAAATACTAGTCATAAGCTGGAGAAAGAGAGAGATAGAGACAAGAAGCCAAGATTTGCGGCACAGAGAGCTTGCATTGGCGTCTGCTCCAAGGGTCGAGGCTCACCACATGGGCTCGTCCGGGCCGCTGATTCGTCGGCTCGGCGGCGACACCATGGGGAGCACGCGACCATTTTCTCGATGATGCTTGGTCAATTGGCAGAGGCACGTTTTCGTCGACCTTTTCGTGGGAAGCAAAGGCCCCGTGAAAACAGATTTGCCTGGGGGATGGGGTCTGGGGCGCATATCTCTCAATGATTTCTGTTTTTGTAGGGGAAGGGCTTATCAGGAGAGACAAAGCCGCTTTAGTGAAATAGTGAAAAGCTGCCATGAGCAAGCGAGTTTCTATCCTCCCTTTTCTTACGCTCACATTCTGCAACCTGTTTCTCTTTCCCTCTATCTTTTTCCCTTCCTCTTGCCTTTTTCTTTATTTCCGCAGATAAATGCTCCTGTCCCCTACTATCTCTTCTAGGGTGCATAAGTGGTCTCGTGCCGCCCGACTTGTCTTGTGAATCTGCCGTGATACAAGCCAAACTCTCCACCAAACCTCAGCCCCTGTGCAAAATAAAACGGGCTTTTCGTTTACACGACATGTTGGATCGGGAAGGGGCACACACGAACCTTTTTTAATTCTCACACGACAACTGTCCCGCTAGAAAACGCCCGCGAGCACAGCAGACGCAGCCAAGCCGCCTGCAACACCACCACCAAAGGCTCTAGCCATAGCTTATCTTGCCAAAAACCACCAACTGCATCTACCCTTGCATCGAGGCACTCAAGTCTCGGTTAAGCTGCCGTTCCTTGTGTCCACACAACGGTGTCCGCGGACTCAGCGCCCTTTTTCTGATCCATCTCAATTCTCCATACTTGGTGGGTAGTGTGCCGCTGTCGTCACCATCTAGGCTTCTACTTACAGAGAGACTTAGTGCGGGAAAAAAGGCCGTCTGGCTGCGCCTCACCAGGTGCCGCGTACCACTCTAGCAAATAGCTTGCCAAAACAGCCCTGCCGTCGGCTTCAGGTCGCGTGTTGGTGGGTGCGAGGAAGCGGCCTGAGACCACACGCCGTGCGATTGCGGATCGCGGAGTGTGGCCGATAGCCTAAGAACTAATCCTAGGTACCGATCGTGCATGCAAGCTTGGCTTTCCGGGCTCGGCATTGTTGGTAGTCTGCATATTACAGGTTTGCTTACAGAACACTGGTCATTGAGCAGTACATCAAGGGTACTTGACCCGAGTGGTGGCCATGCCTCGTCCAACGCTTCCCCCTACGCCTGGCTCCTCGACCGACATCAGGGGCAAGGATGGCATCCAGCAGCTCTCTTCTCTTCAACTAGCCTTTGAGCTGCCCCCTCCTGCCATTCACGATGCCGATGCTTCACGCATTTCACCAATCGACTCTAAGCTCTCGCCCACCTCGACAACCGGTCCTTCAGCCCTAGGGCTGGACACTGCCACATCGCCCAAGACCCTTTATCCTGTGCAAGCGGCTGAAACGGTCAAGTCCCGAAGACGCTCGTCCGCTGCCAATAAAGAGGCCAAGGAGACCACTTTTGCCCTGCCCCCTCCCCCTACGCGCTCCAGGAAGATCATCCAGATGAAGCCCCGAAGTCAGGACTCGAGCGGAAGCTCGACTTCTACCAAAGAAACGGTCAAGGCCGGCGGCAAGTCGGCGGCCAGCGCCAAGACTTCGGCTCCGGGAGCCGAGCCCGGGTCCGGCGCCGGGAGTGCCTCGGCCAAGAGCGAATCAAAGAAGAAACAGCCCAGCGCAACCAGCGCGGCCGGGCGTAAAATCGCGAGGAAAACTGCCCACAGCCTGATTGAGAGGCGACGACGGAGCAAGATGAATGAGGAGTTTGCGCTGCTGAAGAGCATGATCCCGGCTTGCACCGGCGAGATGCACAAGCTAGCCATTTTACAGGTTCGTTATCCCATCCTCCCCCAATATGCTCGGTAGTCCGCAAAGTTTCTAACTAGCAAGCTATCAGGCTTCGATTGAGTATGTCCGCTACCTGGAGGACTGCGTCGCCAAGTTAAAGGCCCAGCAAGAACAGAACCAGCAGAACCAGCCAGAGGCTTCACACAGCCCCCTGCCTCCCATTCGAGAATTCCATCCCACTTTCCGGGAAGACCTATCTGCGGATGTCGAAATGACTGATTCAGAGGCTCAATCTCCCATCTTTGCTCCCCAGCGACCTTCAGTCTCTCCTGCGCTCTACGCTCAAGACTCTCGCCATCGCCAGCACTCATACTCGTCGGTTTCCACCGACCAGAGACATTACAGCTACAGCGGGTCAACCACAACATCTCCTGCCTTTGGGCCTCAGACCTTTGTCAACAACAACAGCAACAGCCTTGCTTCTTACACGCACAGTAGCACTTCTGCTTCTGGATCAACGTTGACAAGCCCTGCATTGTTGCCGCAGAGCGATCTCGACCAAGAGGCGACTGCGGCGCTGTTGATGCTTAATAGCGACAGACGGGGAACGGCGAATAACAACAACGGACGAGCACTGTCTGTGCGAGATTTGCTAAGCTCATAGTTCTCGTTGTCGTCCCTCTGCTGTAATGGAATGATGCAATGACCTTTTTTCTCTTACTTCTTTGCTCCTCTTCTCTCTCTCTCTCTCTCTCTCTCTCTCTCTCCCCTTATAAGATATCAATCTTTATGGTCTTGATAAATTCGATCAGAAGCAGACCCGTGGACCGGGAAAATACAAAAAGACGAAGTCCGTAATGGGTAATGGATTTGTGGAGTTTTTTTTTTTGTTTTTTGTTTTTTTTTGGAGGCTATGATCCAGGCGAGCGGTGCGATTCAGAGGGATATCATCATCAGTTATTTAATCTTTGATTTATTGATTTTATTTATACATGGCTCGGTATACGAGAATAACAAATGTGCGACGGGAACAGAAACGCACTGGATTTCGGCTCTGGGAGGGAAGATACCACTGAGGAAAGACGATGGTCTGTGGCGCATGATTGCTATAATACCCGCTGGCTGTTGCAATCTATAGGGTATATTGCTATTTTAATTCTCAAGCAACTTCAACCAAAAGTTATTACAATTCAATGATGATTCTTTGAAATCTAACGCCTCTGAAAATCTTGTGTATGTACTATCCCCTTATGTTTTACCTTATTAGTTTCAAAATTATTGGCCCCCATCTCTTTTTTTGGCATGCCTTTTACGCTTTTAACCTCTCGCTTCCGGCAATATCATCATTTGCATCCTTGACCAGGAAACTATTAGGCAAGTTTTGTTAGCAATATATTTTGTAATTCATGAAAAAAGAGTGCACAAGTCGAGTCACCGTCTCATGCACGGGCTATGTAGCTCAAACTTACTTATACCATAGGACAGTCGGCCCAATCGTCATTAGGTGCCACAAGCTGTGAGCATCGATGCAGCCCAGCCAGGGCGGGAAATCAAACAATTCCATGCTCATGGAGAACATGACCCATGCCACTGCGATGCTGGGCCACATGGCCCACGTGCGGCCCAGCTTGCGGTAGCGGTGGAAACTGAACCAGCTCCAGAGGGCGTTGTGGATGATGCCGACGACGACGTTGGCGGCCATGTTGTAAGTATAGTCCCAGCTGAAGAGTTTTAGGTATCCGACGTGGCAGGCATACAGCACAACGCAGAACAGCGTCCACACCCGCAGCACCGAGCGCCGGCGCGGCGTCTTGCGGTCGAGCCGGAAGATGCGCACGACGGTGTAGTACGTCCCGTACAGGACGCTGGCGCCGGCGGCGAAGTAGTCGAGCTGCTCGGTGGCAGCAAAGTCACGGGTATGGAAGATGGAGCTGAAGATCCAGGCGGCGAGGCCAAAATAGGAGAAGACCTCGTAGTAGGGGCGGAGGGAGTAGTGGGCTGGGATTTGGTCGCGGATCTTCTTAAGCCCTTGCCAGTGCGCCCAGAAATTGCCAATGGAGAAGAGCACGGAGAAGGGCTCCTGCACGCCGAGGAAGCGGTAGAAGGGCCATTTGCCGTGGAACTGGACGACGTGGAGGCCGGAGGCGACGCGGGAGGCGGTGATGATGTGTTGGCAGGTGTAGTCGCATTCGGCGGGACAGTCCCAGAGGAGGAGGCGGCGGGAGAGGGCTATTGGTCGATTGTTAGCTGGTGATTTGACTTTTCGTTTCGGTTTTCAATTTTCGTTGTTGAGTGAATATCGAGCTCGACAGTGGGGGGGAGAGTTACGAATTGGGGTTTCAGTTTTGCCAGGGCCGCAGTTTTCGACCTTGCAGACCTGTTATTCAGAGACTGGTTAGTAAAGCCTCTAGGTAATTGCGCAGGAAAATCAATCAAGAGAATGTAGACACACGTCAAGACATCGTTTGAAGTCCTCCAGCTGGTCACCGACAGAAGCAAGGCTGACTCCCGCAAAGAATGCCACGAGCAGCAAGATCATGGAGATGGCGCGAGAGCTTGGTCTCCCGCCTCGTAGAGCCGCCATGACGCCAGCATTGACGGATTGAAACAATATCTAAAAGAAAGAAAAAAAAATAGTAAATAAATTATAAAAAGGTTATAGGGGAAAAAAATTGAAAAGGGTGCGCAGAGTGCGCCAAGAAGGAGGGGACGTGGATCAAAAAAAGGCCACGGTATAATTAGTGGAGGTTGAATCCAGCATACGGGGAGATGCTGCTGAGACCTGGAGGTTTGTAGGGAAATTCACATTGAACGCGGCGTTTGGGGCGGCCAATTTGGGTGCGGGTACTCGGAGGCGCTCGGAGCGGGAGAGGATCTCAAAGTATAGGTACGTACACATGGGTATACTATAAAGGCTTATACAGGCAAGTACAAGAATGTGAGTCTCCCTCGACTCAGCCTGGAAATTCCCCAGCCAAGATGCAAAAATACGAGACTGTCTGATTGCGTGTTGTTGATGTCCGTTAGTGTCTGCTGGCGAGATTAGTATTCTTCTGCATCAGATGCTAACAGATACTAATACTACCTATAGCAGTCATGGTAGCATGAGCAGCTCATGCTAAGGTGCCAATTAGGCTCGAGAACCAAATGCGGTGGTTCAGATTGGATAGCGTGTACCGGTACATGCTAGCTCCACGTCACATGCGGTATCGCCACAACCGCACACATAATCTAGACAGACAGGCCAGAATCCCGTCTTGCAACTTCATCACCACCGCCCAATAAATTCATTTTCATTGTTGCAAAACCGGGCCCAGCATCGCCATGAACCAGTGCCATTTTAACTTGTCGCACCTAAAAGCCACCCTTGCAGACTAGCGCTGGTGCCATCGCCGGCGCCGTGCCTGGAAGCGCACGTTGCCCACAGCAACCGGGCAGGCGCTGATTGGCCAGCTTTGTTTCGCAAACATCACCCAGGCAAAAATAATCTTTTGGCTCCAGTTAGCTCTCTCCGCTCTCTTCATCCTTGAACATGCACCCCTACGCAACAGAGCCTGTAGTTTCTTGATTGCTTTTTGTCCTCCGGACCATGAGGAAGCGGCACGCATAAAGTATTTTTATTTTAATTTGCCAACAGCCCACTGTGAATTGCTCGCCGATTACTTTTTTTTTTTTTTTTTTTTGTATCTCCGCTTGACCGCCAGCACGAATATACCCATAACATGGCGACCGCTGCATCGCCGACCCCAATGGCCGCCGGCCCTGTGCGGAGGGTCTCGCAGCGGCAACAGGCTCTACGCCAGCCTCCTCTACGATCATCTTTGGCTAGGAGCGAGAGCCAGCAGGATCAAGCGATGCAATCCCGAACCAACGCCAACCAGTACGACGACGACAGCTCTGAAGATGAGATTCCTGTGCCTATGAAGCTGAGCGCTCTCACCAAAGCGCTTCTGAATGATGGCCGGCCTGAGTCTGCCGCCCAGCCTATGGAGAATCCACCTTCACCACCACGGACTCGAAGACGGACCAGCCAATTGAATGCGTCAATATCATCCATGTCTGAGCGTGGGAGACATCGAGCCTCTCTCAGTGGGCAAGCTCCCGAAGGCAAAACATCGAGGACCTCGAGTCCTGCTAGAGAGCATGGCACGAGCCCGGTACAAAGAAAAAGAGTAGTAAGGCTTAGCAACACGCCACAATCCCTGAGCCAGATCCAGCCTTCAAAACGACGGTCCAGCTCCTTCTCTCGATCAACACAGCGACACCAGCAAACTAGTCGGCCAGCGAGTAGGGATAAATCTGCCGAAGAGAAGTCAGAGCCGCCAGCGGACATCAACACACCTGCAAACGGGAATCGCATCGTGAGAATTTCTACAAACTCTTCTGGCAATCGTAGTAAACTGGGTTCAGCCGGGATATCATCAGGTCGATCATTTGATCGCTCTGCTGCTGATAGGTCTGCTATAGAGGTGGATGATTACGAGCACTACGAGATTCCCGAGACTGTCGCACGTAACACGGCGGCACCGACAGCCTATAGTAGTGTCTCACGACATGCCTCAGCGAAAGGACGGCTAGATGATAATGGCAACCCGCAGAGCTCGATGCGTATCAAGCGTGCCGGCAAAATCCCCGGAACGTTTCTGAGCGGCCCCGCACGACGTGGAAGGCGGCGGCAGAGCGATGAGGACGTTGAGGGTGAAGGAGAAATGGACCAGTACAATCCTCACCAGGAGCAAGACCAAGATCAAGACCACCCGATGGATGATGTGCCAGAAGTTCCTTACTACCCGGATGGTATCCGGGATTTCAACTCTGGAAGCCCTGTTAGTGCAAGTGCTTCAGCTAGAGCGCTTCACAGGAGACATTACTCTAGCATGGAATCCCGTCCCGGATCTGGACGACCCTCACCGCGTGGGACTGACCCTGAAGCAGAGCCGCAGCGATATGCACCACTGGAGAGAGAAAGAGAGGAGGCAGAAGAGGAGGAAATACCTTACAAGAAATCAGTGCTGTATCATGACATACCCGCGAATATACCCTCGGCAAGCGAGAAGGAAAACGAAATCCGCTCCGCTTACAAGCGCCCGAAATCTTCCTTTGACGATGCGATGGACAAGGCTCCAGTACGACCGCTGAGCACCGATCATATCTTCGCTAGGCCAGCTTCGCCAGAACGGAAACCACTGGCGCCAGTCGCAAACAATACTCCCCAACGGCCTGCTCCTCCCCCTCCCCCTAAGATGTCTGTCATGGAGGCGGCTACTTCAACTACTGGTGCAGCAGCAGCAGCATCTACTTCAACCAAACAGCGGAGAAACGTGCTACGAGTAAATGGAAAAACTTACACAAGACTAGACTGCCTCGGCCGTGGCGGCAGCGCCAAGGTGTATCGAGTAACTGCAGAGAACGGGCAAATGTTTGCTCTGAAGCGTGTGGCCTTGGAAAATGCCGATGAAATGACTATCAAGGGGTACAAGGGCGAAATTGATCTCCTCGGGAGACTCGAAGGAGTTGATCGGGTTATCAACCTCTTCGCCTACGAGATGAACATGGAGAAGCAGGTGCTCAGTTTGGTGAGTAATCATTTTCTGTAATTGTTATGCTGTGACACATATCTGGATTCACTAACCCGTTGGCAATGATTGTAGGTTATGGAAATGGGAGAGCGAGACCTGAACGCTCTTTTAGCAAGTCGCCAGAACCCTGAAGCTTCAAGATTCGACCCTGTATTCGTGCGTTTCTACTGGAAAGAGATGCTGGAGTGCCTGCACGCTGTTCATCAATATGACATTGTTCACTCAGACCTGAAGCCTGCCAACTTCGTCCTTGTCAAGGGCAGACTTAAGCTAATCGATTTCGGCATTGCCAATGCTATTCAGACCGACGAGACAGTCAATGTCCATCGCGAAACACAGATAGGCACACCCAACTATATGTCTCCCGAGTCGCTGCTGGACTCCAACAACCCACGAGGCGGTCGTTTCCCTGGTCGCCCTAAGCTCATGAAGCTCGGAAAGCCCAGCGATGTGTGGTCCCTGGGCTGCATTCTCTACCAGATGGTCTACGGTTTACCACCCTTTGGCCATATTGCGAACCAGATGGCGAGATGCCAGGCCATCATTAACTGGGATCATCACATCGAGTTTCCCTCTCGTGGCATGGGCGGCGCACCCGTCCCCCCTTCACTTATCAGGACTCTGAAGCGTTGCCTAAACCGAGACCAACATATGCGCCCAACTTGCGAAGAACTCCTCCACGAGACTGATCCATTCCTATATCCTGCAGAGGTTAGCGACAAAGCTCTTCCCATCGATGAAGAGCTACTAGGAAGAATCATCCAGAGTGTTGTCTCGAGATGCCGAGAACGCATGCCTACAGAGTCAGAGGGTGCAAGCGTCTGGCCACAGGCATACTGGAGCAGTCTAAGAAAGGCCGTGGGGAATAGGCCTCATTAATAGTAATAACCTGGATAAAAGCGCCAATGAAAAGAATACGAACAGCTACGAACAAGGACAACAAAGTCTATGACCTTTTGGTCGTTCTTAATTTGAGAGGGAAAAAACTTATGATAAGGGGAAAGGAAAGGTCTTGGCGAAATTAAAAAGGAACACATTTTCTATTACGACGTTCATGATGGCATCACCAGCTTGGTGTTGAGGAGTTTTACATATAGCTTTTCTTTTTTTCAACTCTTTTGTCTTTTTTTGGTGTACATACACGCTACTTTGAACTAGAGCGGGCTTTTTGTTATGGATTGGACGGGATTGGATGACAGATGGGTTTTCCTGTATAGAGTACTTTGTGATGGAGACGCTGCTTTGCGATATGGTGGGGAATGTCACATATCATGACTGTTTTGGCTTGAAACGTCTAGTACTTGGTCTTAATTGGTGTTTAATTTGTGTTGTAACCTTTTGTTTCCTTCCCTCTTATCTTCACGCCCTCTTGTTATTGTACAGCCAGCAATATCCATATATGCTGAACGCTAGATGATACATATTTGCCTTACAACGTCGTGACATCGTTTATCAAATTTTCCACGTCAGTCTTTTTCCTCTTGCCTTTTTTTTAACCCCATTCTCATTAATTTTTCCTCTTCTAAGACCCATATCAGCAATCTTCATCATGAAGCCTCCTCAAACTCTTCCACATTCTTAATATTCAGCTCTGAGATCCGCAGGATGGTATATCGATGTTTGCTCTTGGCCTGACGCTTTCTCCTCTGCCTCCTCTTCGTCTTGACCTTGATTCTCAGTGGCTCCGACTCTGTACCCAAGACCGTAGCACGGCACTCAAACGCCCTCTCGTCGACGTGGGGTGCACCCTTCATAGTGTAATCTCTGCTACCAATGACACTGGCACGGTTCAAGCGCAGCACATCTCCGGGAACAACGCCGGGCATCTTAAATGGCAAGCGAATCTGGTCGCCCTCTTGGACAAGGTAAGGAAAGCCGTGGATATGGACGGTGATGTAGTGGCCTGGCTGAGCAGCGAGGAGGGGCAGAAGAGTCTTCACGGAGTCGTCAATTGGCTTAGGAGGCTCGGTGGGGTGGCTCTTCTTGAAGGCCAAAGGACGGACTTGGTCCTCGGTAGGATTTGGTGCGTTGTTGACATGCGGCTGCGCAACGGGCTCGACGATTGGCGCAGTGGTGTTGAAGCTTCGAGGCAGTATGTGACGACGGATTGGCTGTGCGAATAGAGGGGCGAGACGAGAGCTCGGGGCCCTGAGCTCCAGCACGGAGCGAAGCAGTGCTCTGCTCATGGTTTGGATTGCGCGCCCTTGATTTGAGCTGCTGGTTGGTGCTATTTTCTTCCCTCTTTGCAGCTTTTATGACCTTCCCCGGTATGGTGTTTTCAATCGCACCATGGACATGAAGCTTTGCGCCCTGCGACTTTCTGCGGCCGGGCCGGATTAGTGTGGCGCCGGGGTCCGATGAAATCTTGGCGCCGACATATTTTTTTCGAGGCTGGGAATTTTCCACCGTACCTGGCTCTCAGTCTCCACTACTGCATAGAAGCAAAGTCCAGGACAGGACAACAACACTGCCAACATGGTATGTTATTGAGAGAAGAAGGAATTGTAGAATGGCAATCAAGACGATGATTCTAACTCCCTGCAGCCTCAGAACGAGTATATGGAGAGATGGCGCAAGCTGCATGGCCGCCGTCTCGACCACGAAGAGCGAACCCGAAAGCGCATTGCCCGTGAAGGCCACAAGGCTTCGCAAGACGCCCAGAACCTCCGCGGTCTGAAGGCCAAGCTGTACCAGAAGAAGCGCCACAATGAGAAGATCCAGATGAAGAAGGCCATCAAGGCCCACGAGGAGCGCAACGTCAAGACCGCGGACGAGAAGGAGCCTACCCAGCCTCTGCCCTCGTACCTGCTCGACCGATCGAACCCTTCCACGGCAAAGGCCCTCAGCAGCGCCATCAAGAACAAGCGTGCGGAGAAGGCCGCCAAGTTTAGCGTGCCGCTGCCCAAGGTGCGAGGTATCAGCGAGGAGGAGATGTTCAAGGTCGTCAAGACGGGCAAGAAGACGCACAAGAGGGCGTGGAAGCGAGTCATTACTAAGCCTACATTTGTTGGACCCGACTTCACCAGACGAAACCCCAAATACGAGCGCTTTATCCGACCCATGGGTCTGCGTTACAAGAAGGCCAACGTCACACACCCTGAGCTCGGCGTCACGGTCCAGCTGCCCATCATCAGTGTCAAGAAGAACCCGCAGAACCCTCTGTACACTCAGCTAGGTGTTTTGACCAAAGGTACCATTCTCGAGGTCAATGTTAGCGAGTTGGGTCTGGTTACTGCTGGAGGAAAGGTTGTCTGGGGCCGATACGCTCAGGTCACAAACAACCCTGAGAACGAGGGATGCATCAACAGCGTGCTACTTGTCTAAGTTTTTATGGGATGGGGGGGAGGACAGTTGAATGAGGAGTGGTTTTGGTCATTTTTGTTGAGAGCCACGGCTGTCAAAGGTGCATGTATTGGCGTTTTGGCGTTGGGTACTACCTTGGGAGGTACGGGTGCTTGATGCAGGAGGAAAGAAAAAGACATAAAAGAAGCAAAGGCTAGATGAGGTCGATTAGGGAGATATAAAGACTTTTGAGGAAACCAAGGTACTCGGATTTGATGCGTAAGGAAATTCAGGTATATAAATAATACAATGAAGATGTTTGTCAATTTACCAGTACCAGTACCGAATGCTAGCCACCATGCATAAAAAGAATACTTGTGTGTTCAACTCTGTTCAATCTTCTATATCCTGTGTCTTTGAATGATATACTATTTGTGTCTTAAAATGATATACTATTGAGCACATGTCAAACTCAGCAATTATCAAAGTCTCTGCTAGCTCTATCGGCGCCTCTATCAACGCCTCTATCGCAATTTTTTTTTTTTTTTTTTTTTTTCCTTTTTTTTTTTGTACCATCAGCCACCGACCGCCAGACTAGCAAACTCGGTCGTCCAAAAGTGGATAGCGGGGACCCTGCCAAAGGCGGTGACAAGGATAATTTAATTTTCTGCCCAACCAAGCCTGCCTTTCTTGTCTCTGTTTGCCGCCGCCGATTCAAGTCTTTCCAGCCGCAGGCCAAAAAGCATAAACCAGACAGAGAAAGAGGCGTCTTGTCTTTTTTTCCCCCTTACAAACGAATTTTTCTCTGCATCTGTTGTGCCGCCTCGAAAGGACAATCATAGATCTCTTTGTTGAATAGACGAGCCTCGTTTCTTTTCTTTTTCTTTTCCCCATTGCTAATTTGAAAATGTCCGGCGAAAACATGGAAGTCGAGCTTGCTGAGCAGAAGCTCAAGACCATGGAGCACAGCGAGCAGCATTACTTTAAGAGGTACGTTTTTTTCTATCAGCTGAGAGTGGCTCCTACACAAAAAAAAAAGTTGCGTGGGAGACTTCTGAGGGCGACTATTACGGACGGTTTGAAGACGGCGACGCTGACTTATTATGCTTGCGTCTAGTTACGATCATCATGGTACGAATAACGAGAAAAAAATGAATCTTTGTATGAGAACACGTTATCTAACCTTGACTCTTGTTTGCAATTCGCAGGCATCCACGAGGAAATGCTGGTGAGCACATCTCCCCCTCCTCTTTCATGCATTTGCTGCCCCTCCTTCAGCCTCGTGCCGCGAAATTAGATGCGGCGGCGCTATTGTTGGTTGCATCTGGCTGCGCAGGACTTTGAGGAAAATGAAAAGAGGAAAAAAAAGTGCATAAACTGACGTTTTGGCGAAACTACAGAAAGATGAGGTGCGCACGAGGTCGTACATGAACGCCATTGTCCAGAACAAGCACATTTTTAAGGACAAGGTTGTTCTCGACGTTGGATGCGGTACCGCGATCCTTTCTATGTATGTGCTTCCGAATATTCTCCTCTCGCGATTACCCTCCGTCGTCGAGTTTTTTTTTCTTTGCGACATATAGTCGAAACGAATAGACAGACAAGGAGAAAAGAGCAAAAGGAAAAAAAAAAAAAAATACATAATATTTACATGGTCTCTTTCATAGGTTTGCCGCCAAGGCTGGCGCTAAGCATGTCATCGGTGTGGACATGTCCACCATCATCTTCAAGGCCCGAGAGATCGTCAAGACCAACGGCTTGTCAGACAAGATCACTCTGATTCAGGGCAAGATGGAGGAGATCGAGCTGCCCTTCCCTCAAGTCGACATCATCATCTCCGAGTGGATGGGCTACTTCCTCCTGTACGAAAGCATGCTGGACACTGTCCTTTACGCCCGTGACAAGTACCTTGTCAAGGATGGTCTCATCTTCCCCGACAAGGCCACCATCTTCTTTGCCGGTATTGAGGATGGCGACTACAAGGAGGAGAAGATTGGATGTAAGTTGTTGCCTGCTCTATATTTTATTTTTTACTAGGCTGACAGCTTTCAAAAGTCTGGGATAACGTGTACGGCTTTGACTACACTCCCCTGAAGGAGACCGCTCTTTCAGAACCCTTGGTCGATACTGTCGATCTCAAGGCGGTCGTTACCGATCCCGTCCCTGTCCTGACTCTCGATCTCTACACCTGCACCACCGCCGACCTCGCCTTCAGCACTCCCTTCACTCTGACTGCCAAGCGAGATGACTTCGTCCACGCTCTCGTTTCTTGGTTCGACATCGACTTCACCGCCTGCCACAAGCCCATCCGCTTCTCTACCGGCCCTCACACCAAGTACACTCACTGGAAACAGACCGTTTTCTACATCAAGGACGTCCTCACCACACAAGATGGAGAGGAGATCCACTGCAAACTTGACGTTAAGCCCAACAACAAGAACCGCCGTGACTTGGATATTGAGATCGAGTACAACTTCCAGACTACGGATGCAAACAGAGTTGCCTCTGGTCACAGCGAGTACAAGATGTGCTAAGCGTATGTTTCTCTGTTTTTGACTGGAGTATTTTGAGGATTAGAAATTGGAAGAACGGATACCGGAGGGGTGGGGGTGACCGGAGGCTCGCGGAGACGACAGCGAATAACGGAGTATGAAAGAATGATGAGACTCGGCTTTTTTGGTGGCGTACATAGGTGGTTTTTTTCATGTGTGCAGATGGGTTTAAAAGTAGGCAGATAGACCAGCGCAGCGAATGCTACGTCTCGGAAAGAAAGAAGTATCAAAAAGGAACTTTCGATCTGCGCAGTTATAGCCGTGATGCCTTTCAGTTTACATTTACCTTTTCCTGTGGCTACACTTGATTATACTGCAGACTCATAGCCAACGCGTTCAGGCATGCAGAGATTGGCCTCGTCTAGGGGCAGTGGCCTCACAGAAAATAGCGATAGACTGTCTAGAACATACCCCACACAGATATTCGAAGCAGTAATATATCCTCAATGATGCAAACCTCTTTGCGAATTCCTGCGCCTGACGGGAACTATTACGAGCGAAACTGTCGCAGTCATAAGTCTAAATAGAGCGGCTGTGGGGCAAGATGGAAATAAACAGACAATGAAGTAGTTCAAAATATATCATGGTAACAGTGTTGCCAGTATTGTACAATCCGCTTCTTCTTTGATCCACGTTGCCTGCACTTTGTTCATAATCGCTTGTTGCTAACAATACCCTGGCTGTAATCTGAACATGATACCGTTCCTTTGAGAAGTTAATATCCTCAAAGCTTCAACGACGAACTTATTGTAGCAAGCCTTGTATTTATTCGTCATATAAACATTTTAAATATAGCTGAGTGGCTGCAAGCTGCGAAGCCGTAAAAAAAGTTAGCAAACGCAATGATTCACCAAAGATTGCGTATATTTAGAAATACGTATACGAACTTCAAGAGCCTACAAACACGCCTCAAAGAGCCACATTCAAGAAGATAGCTAAGGAATAGCTAGAATAAATCTCCATGTTTTTTTAATTGTTGGCAGTCAGGCATGGAAGACAGATCGGGCTGGCCGCTTACAGAGCCATCCGACCCAGCCACAGAGATTTTTAATCGTTTATTCAAGCCCGATGAAGACGACATGAGATGGATTCAGGGTCACATCGACAAACATTTAAAAGCCTGCCGACGATATTTAAGAGCAAATCCGCCTAGGACGATAGAAGCGTTAGACGAAGCTAATGAAGCAAGGATGCTCGCAGTGGCAGAAGGAATGGTGAATATCGAACCCAAGATCAAATTTTACAAGGCCGAGTGCTACAGGAGACTACGCAGATGGAAGGACGCTTATAGAATGTACGAAGAATGCGTCGTCGACGCAAAGGATGTATACTGGCTTGAGGCGATGCGAAGATTTTGTAAAACACAAATGTTGAAACCACGCAAAGATCCATGGCTTAGACGGATAGAATGTTCTGAGAATTTGCAGGAGGAGTATAAACACGATGGGATAGACGAGATGACTCCGTTTAGGCAAGGTTGGTGAAGATTGGAAACTACAAGATGTGCGTTTAGTAAAGTTGAGACATTCTCCTTTCTCGGGAGGTTCGTAAGAGGCTGAAGAGTTAAAAATAGTTCCTGAGTTGGCCGGTCACCAGCCCAGTGAGCAATGACATTTTGGGGGGTCATATTCGAAGAGTGGATATAGGTATACAATTGGAAAATACTATACACGTATTGGAAAATAAAATCCTTCCCATGATTATATAAACAATTCGCCAATCATCATGCACGGCACAAATGGCATCAGAGGACTCTTTACTGTATTTATAGGGTAGCTGAATAATATGTGCATATGCGAGCGAGCAGCTGCACTCCACCAGGCGGGAAAAAAAAATATTAAATAAATAACACCTTCCGCATGCAACAAGGGAAATAAATAAATTGATGCTAATCGAGCATGTTTATCTTTCATTGCCTCATGCCCACTCGCCTTGCATTCTGCGTGGTTACATACAATACCTACATGCAGAAGGAGAGAGGGGGATAGATCCTTGTGCATTGAACCATGTGTTCGGAGCACTGTAAAAAAAAAAAAAAGACAAACAAACGGCCAGTTAAGTCTTCACAGCTGCGTGTCAATATTTCGTCTGTACTACGTAGTATTGATGGACAGGTAGGTTAGAAAAAGGGCATTTATTCGGGTTTTGGAATGGATAACTCGACGGAAAATTATTTCCCCTGTATACAAAACGAAATTAAAATATGGGCAAAACAGGAAAGACAGGAAGGTGTTCGTTCAGCTTATTAAGATGTTGAAAGAATGAAACACACCCACCACGCCTGTTCAGCCCAGAAAAGCAGCTGAATCGCCTCACGAAACAAAAAAAAAGAAACCCAGCAGGAAAATGGCCCATTTCCTAAACAGGAGTTGCAGCGGAAACAGTACATAGTGGGCAAAAAAAGAAGAGAAGCCCCCTGCCGGACTCGAACCGGCAATCTCAAGATTAGAAGTCTTGCGCCTTAGCCATTAGGCCAAGGGGGCTTGTGCTGAAGTTGACGACATGGCCGTCGGTATTCGCATCATGAAGCCAGTTGATGGGGATCAAGGAGGGTGGCAGTGAGGCCGCCTGGCATCAATCGCCAAGACGAGCGCATAATGATGTCCGAGATGCGTTGGATAGGGACCTTAAGCTGGAACCACCAAGATTACTACCTGCATAGTACCTACTACCTACTCAGTACCTAATATCCCCGTCTGGTACTGCTGTTCCGGAGCAATGCAACCCTTTGGCTCGACGCATTGCCTGGATGCAGTAAGCGCAGTTGATAACGCCCAAGTGCCTTTTCAGGACAAAGGCAAGCGAGCATCGTCTGTCATTGGTAGGACTACCTTGCACTTGCAATTTTGACTCTTAGTGGGGAGAACTGAACTGTGTTATACTACCTGGTAAGTAGGTATTTCGTCACGCATGGAGCTCGAGGCTCTGACTGCTTGATATATGTAAGCCCAGTCAGAGTCAGCAACCGGCCCCATTCCACGTACCGAGGCCATGCCCCGTCTCCCCATGGATTCATTCCAGTTTCGTAGTAATTCTCCGTGTATACGTGTATTGCCGCCGTACTCGTACTTATTCTTAGTGGTGGGCTGGCAGCTCTGGTGGTGCTGCTGCAAAAAACCACCTGCACTTACGCCGCACCGCCCCCCGGACCTCGAACCTCTTCCTGCCCACCCATTTCTCGACAGGCCCGAATTCAATGCAACCCACTGCGGTGGGCGAGGCCCTGATTGGCGAGGCGCCGCGCCTGTCAAACGCTCGTGAGGCTTGGCTCGATGCCCACCAACTCGGACATTCACTTTTATCCGTACGCCAAAAGGCCAAAGGGTGGCCGACGACATCATCGAGCAGCTCGTCTGGGGAAGAAAACGCGGGGAGAAGCGCCGATGCCCCGAGACAGCAAACGTCTGAAAGAGCGATACACGCTGCTGGCCTCGCGGCATGTCGCCCAGTCACAAAAAAAAAAAAAGAAAAAAAAAAGCCGCTGGTCTTGGCTGCTGGTATATGAGCTTAGGGGGAGTGTCGCCAGTGACGGAATATCCTGCTGCGCTTGCGAATAGGTACCATGCCGGGGATGCTCGCACGTGTTGATGCAGCTCGGGGCTGGATCCAGCGCAGGCCCTGGAGATCGCGTGCTAGCACCACGGCCGCTGGGAGATACGATGCAATACGCCTGCCAGCGGGTGCAAACGCCTCATCGTCGCGGGCGTGTCGGTAGGGCTGCGGGAGAGTTGCCCCGACTAGCAATACCAAACACAGCGCAGACCAGGCCGTCCGTGCCGGTGAGACACAATCTCGATTCGTCGCTCCAGGCGCTCTCGTCGCTGCCGAACAGCCTATATCTGGGCTATATTTGGGTGCAACGACTCGGGACTAGCCCTGTTCCTGTCAGATCTGCATCCACTGCCGACGGGCCTCTTGCTTGGCTGGGTCGAGGCAGGCCCGTTGCTTTTGATTCTGCCGGGATGCCCACTCAGTCAGCGCCAAGCGGACGCATGGGCCGGCGACGGCGAGCTTCAGTTCATCCGACGAATGACACACGGTCCTCTGTGGACTACACACGTATTGCCGTGGTATTTGAAATCTCTATCGCATCGCTACTACGTCCCGGTCTGCTGTGGATACCTACCCAACTACGACTAGGCATGCTGCTTATCTGATGTACTACATACAGTAGTACATACACATGCATGGAGTACAATCTCAACAAGAGACACAAGGTTCGATGGCCCCGGTCAAGAGAGCGTTTTGTGACTTATCGGCACGTTAGTTTAAGCCGACGCCGCACACATGGCAAAAAGTCGACATGGGACACCAGCAACGACTCCGGCACGGCGATGCTATTGTAGGCGTCAAATGGGCGTCATATTAGCCAGCGCCAGCTTTGCACGGCAGATTTCGACATGGCTGCTCGCCAAGCTTTTCCGTCAAATTAGGTGCCGGCCCGAGGCTAAATTCGAATCATGACGCCTCTCGGGAGCCTCTTCCCGGGCAGACGGAGGGACTGGGACCAATGAGGCTCGGATGATCACCGAAGCCAATTTATGATAGAGTCATGACTGACAACACACCCTCATGATGTTTTTTCGAAACTTGTACAAGGAGAAAAGCTTGTGGCAGCATATCTTGTTTCCATCAGTTGTGCAAGGTAGCAAGATGTGGGCTTCTGGCCTGCCTCTTTGGGTATAAGACATGAGCAAGTTAATGCGGCGTCTACTTAAAACTATTTTTCTTTTTCTTTTTCTTTTTCTTTTTCTTTTTCTTTTTTTTTTCCCCCTTGTCATTTTATGTCGGGGTAAACCTTGTCACAAACCCTCGCGATATGCAGAGCGAGCTAATAACGGCTCTTAACCAAAAGGGGGGTGAAGATTGTCGTCAAGTGTCTCAACATCTTCCTTACCCTGCCCACTTTGCCATCTTGCTTGGATGAACTGATCATTACATAAAACCCTCCGAACGGCCGTATTCTGGTGAGTTTGTATCAGTCGGCCCGTTCCCCGGGCCTTCAATAGACGACTCAACGAATCAGTACAATAAAAAACGATTGAGTCGACATCTCCCCCGCATTCCCTCTGCTTCGATATTAATTTTTAATTTGTGTGGCTGTGGGATACTGTTAATGGAGACGGGTACTCATGGAACAACAACAGAGAAATGTAATGGAAGGTGTACGCAAGGAATGTTACATGTATTATCCCAAGTTTTAGTCGTCTTACAAGTTGGACGGGTATTGGGCGATGTGGTCTATTAGGTATTGTCTAAACTCTTGCCTCTTTCTTGCAAAGATGACACTATGCTGAGTCAAGAATCACTGAGATCTTTTGATTATCAGTAAGTGACATTGTAAGTGGCCCTGCTAGGCCGTTATACTGGTAAGGGCGGAGGAGATTAGACTTGACTGGGAGGGTTGCTGGACGGTTCGTCGTGGATGTCTGGCCACAAGAGCAGAGGGATTTTCCATGTCGACATTCGCCATGCCATCATTTTATCCTAAAAGTGGAGGTAGGGCACCGTTTGCAGCAGTAGCATCAAACTTGCTTGGAGCTACCGGGGCTCTGGACCCAAGGAAGGCTTCATGTTTGGTAGTATTCGAAGCAAAAGATCATCGGATGGAGTCCCAGTTTGGGGCCCTTTTCACACGCGACGTGCATGGATTTGTCCCCCCGAGGTTCCCAACCTGTCGTCGAAGGAGAAGGTGGCTGCATCGTAAAGGCTTTAACTCAAACACAGGGGGGGGGGAGAGGTTGAGGAGAATGGTTGCTTGATCGACGAGGAAACATAAAGGCAGAATTATGCCCTCACTCCCCAATGCTCTCCTCCTGGTTTCCCTCCGATTGAGGATTTTATGAAATATCGTTGCTAGATATCAATAAAGATATTATACTTGCCCGCACGAGAAAGGTAAAACCAAGGTAATCAATTTGGAAACCTCTTATTCGCCCGCGCCGTCGGGGCCGGGGTAACACATGTCTAACAGGCATTATCAAGGCAGGAACCACCTTGACAATAGGACTCATCGTCGTAACGACGTCGACGGCGGACGAATGACAGATTACCTTCCCGTTTGAAACGTTGATCTTACATGCCAAGTCGCAATCTCTATCCCCTTTCCATCACATTGTCTCTCTCCCTAGGAACGTGCTTCTTGTTGTGCATGGGGGGGAAACAACCTTTCGTAATCAGGGAACAGCCGCATGGTCTGATTTGCAATCCACTTCGGAGGGTAAAAATAGAATCTGGAATCTCGGGAAAGCCCTATTCTGCAGGTCAGTCTAGATAAGACGTTTGTACGGTAAGCGGCCAGATGGTTGTGTGTCCCTTTTGTCGCTGTTGCTGATGAGATTTTTGGTGTTTGCCAAAAAGGACATATAGACCTCCCCCCTGGGTGTTCTATCGAATCTTCGCATCTGCAACCACTCACCTATTCACAGCAAGATACAATCTTGCTCGTCATCATAATTCCTCTTTCATCCTCATCCTCATCTCTTGTCCTTTTCTTCTCCATCTCATCACACCCTTGCCTTTAGTCACTGCCGGCCCTAAGGGGGTTATATAGCAGAGACATTATCCTTATCTTTGGGGAGCAAATACCCTGCTTTCGACTCTATTCTTTGACCGAATCGATTTGTACCAACATAACCATTGAAAATGGCACGGAGCGAAGACTTCAACCACCAGCATATGTACGAATTCATCGGCGCTGTAGGAGGGCTCGCTGCGATACCCATCGTCTTCCACCTTGGACGACGACTTGCCCAGAAGACAAACGTTGGCAAGAAAGGGGTCTCCGCGTTGGCTGTATTGTCTCGGTAAGAGATAATCCATCATAGCTCGATGTTGTCAACTCACTTCGTAGTAAAGAGGCTAAGACAAAGATTGGAGGAATATAGGAAACCGCGAAGTGTTCTTCTTCACACAGCACCTGGAGTGCCTTCTCGAGGACATGCTGTCCTAGTTTCTCTTTACGTTGCCATCAACCTCATCCTCACCTTCACAAACATTAATAATCCCGGCATTCAGCTCACTGCCATCATAGGTGGGCGAGCAGCATGGTAAGAATACTCATGGAAAACGTTCAGAAGACTCGCCGTCTTCTTTTCTTGGTGCAACAAGCTTATGATGGGGGAAAATTAGGATGGCCCTTGCGAATTTAGTCGTTCTCATCTTTCTCGCTTTGAAGAACACTCCCCTGGCATTCCTCACAGCCTGGTCGTACGAGCGTCTCAACATCTTGCATCAAATCGCCGGCTACATGTGCGTCAGCTTTGTCATCATCCACGCCTCTTGCTACACCACTTACTTCAAGAACATGGGAAGGATCTCCATCCTTCGGGAAGAGAGTGTGATATACGGCGAGATTGCCGGCTTGTCTTTTGTAATTGTTGGATTCGCCGGAGCGGTTATTCGTCGATGGTGGTACGAACTCTTCTACTATGTCCACATGAGCTTTTGGATCCTCGCCATCGTCATGGTCGGTCTTCACCAGCCAATGTTTGCTAAGAGGATTGTTTTTGTTGTGATTGCTACCGCTGGTATCTGGGTGCTCGACCGTCTTATTCGCGTAACCCGCTTGTTGGTATACAGCGCCAACAACACCGCTACCCTTACACCTCTGCCAAACGGTGGCACTCGAGTAACCCTCAAGAAGGCTCCCCTGGGCGCCGTATCTGGACAACACTGCTTTCTTTGGATCCCCTCCGTCCGAGTAAGCGAGACACATCCTTTCACGATTGCAGCTATGGATCCCATGGAGTTTGTTGTCAACTCCCATGATGGTTTCACTCAGGACCTTCACCGATACGCCGTCAAAAACCCTGGTGCAACCGTCAAGGCCTCAGTTGAAGGAGCTTATGGTACCCTACCTGATGCTTCTGAGTACGAGAGGGTTTTTTTGGTTGCAGGTGGAAGCGGTTCAACTTTTACCTTTGGCATGGTGCTCAACATGCTCAGGGATATGTCTCCTGAGCAACAGGACAAGAAGATCACCTTCGTCTTGTTGGTCAAATATAGGAGTGAGTAAACATGATTAGCCCTAAAGAGATGAAAACAATGAGCTAACAAAGACATGAACAGGTCACCTTACTTGGGTTGCGTCTCACCTCGAAACTCTTGCAAAAGATCCACGTGTGCGGCTTGAAGTCTATGTCACTCGATCGTCGGAAGAGAAGACAGATGAGGAGATGCGCCTAGGATCAATGCCCACCACAGCATCTTCCGAGACCGATGCCGAGAAAGTAATTCCTACTGTGACAGCTCAGCCGATTCGATCTGCCGGCTCAGCATCCTCTGAGGAGTTAAGTTCAGAAGAAACGGAATCAGTACCATTGAACGCCTATGAGAACTCCATTAAGAGTGGCAAACCAGATATCTCTGCTTTGATTCGAACCGAGATTGAGGAGACACCGGTAGAGAACCGTATCCTAGTCTTGGGCTGCGGACCTGACGGTCTCATGACACAAGTCCGCAACACCACCGCGGCATGCATACGATCTGACGGTCCCGGAGTTGAGCTCCACTGTGAACAATTCGGTTGGTAAACATCTCCGACAAAGCACTGGGTATCTGCTTTTTTTTTTTTCCTTTCTCTGAATTGTTTCTTTTTTATGGTTATGGATTTCAGATGTCTCTCGATCTGAGTGTTAAAAAAGTGAATTTTCGGTTTCGTGATCTCTGCAAGCATTTTTCTTATCATAAGCATTGGTTTTGGCACTGGCTTATCTTTTTCCTTTTTCCTTTTTTTTTTTGTACTTGAGAGCGACTTGCATTTTTTCACTCACTCTTTCTCTTCTTTCAAGCCATGTGTTGCGCTCCAACTCTATGTCTCCTGTATATAATTTGTTCTTTATCTTGATGAACGAGCAAGGTCTGCATATAACAATAAATATTAGCGTACTCTCACTTCTTTGTTGTTCGACGCTTGGTAATCTAAATCGATGATGTAAACAATAGTGATACTCTTGCTGTGTGATTTACATGTTCGTTTCTTGCGACTACAGGATCTGGCTAATAACTGAACCGAGATTGTTGTTGAAACCAAAGCTTAACTTCTATCGACGGAACAGCAGTAGCTACTATCACAAGGAGAATAGAGTAAAGCAAGCATGTGAGTTGTGAAATTAGACAGCAACATCATAGAAACGCAGTGAAACTCATGAAATGGCGAAACAGTCAACAAGAGCAAAATTAGTGAGGGGTCAAAACCATTCATATGCAAGACATTCTCTACGCCGAGGGAAAACTAGTAGAAGAAAAAAAAGCCTTGTATATCCGTTCCTTTCATCCGTCACATTATGTAAAATCAGGGTATGGATATCTCGCTAAAGAAAAAAAAAGAAAAAAAAAAGCGTGCCATATGAGATTATAAATGCTTACAACTACTACTACTAAACCATCACAACTAAACTGCCACTACACTTCGGCGCACTACCTGCAATAAGAACCTGCCCCTCTCGGAAACGGCACCGCCAAAGAGCTGCGACTGTGGGGGAGAGACAGAAAAATGTGATACTACACATCTCACGCGATTTTGGCTTCCCAGCTCTTTAAAATGTGAAGCAAACCAAGGTTGAGAAAAGCGATTCATGCCCCCCCCACCGCCTTTTGGCCTTTTTTTAATATTGCTCGCAAAATTGGTACGTACTAGTCTAATACCTAGTGTATGTTGTACAGAGTACAGTACATTACTCGCATGCTTTCCTTATTTGAACTGCTGCTGCTTGCTGCTGCGGTTCGCTTATGCGGAACGGACCGTTTTTATTTTTTTTTATGTGGGGCTTATCTTGGTTTCTCGGAAAGTTTACTTCCCCACGTTTTTCTTTTGAAGTGTGTCTTATCTATCGCCATCGTCATCGCACAAAGAATCCTTCGGGACTTCACACTTTACCGCAAGCAGAATACAAAGCTTACATACATTTCATACATATACCTCTTCATCCACACGCAGTAGTAGCAAAAAAACACACACACATAAGACAAATACCATATAATCGCCCGCCCTGCCTGCCTGCCTGCATACATACATACATACAAAAACACAAATTTAACGCAAATGCCTCCAAGACTCTCCTTCCACCCACCCCTCCTCAACACCGCCTCTCCCTGGGCCACCACCGAGGCCCACCTCCGCGATCTCCTCCTCTGCCCCTCCACCGGCGCCGTCACAACCCGGACGAGCCTCATTGACGGATTTCCGCACAGCCCGGACCGTCACCGCTACGCCTTCTTCGACCCGGCAACGGGCAAGGCCTCTTCCTCGGGCACCTTTTCCGGGCCGCCAGAGGATTCCAACACCAATGTGACTGATGCAAAGGATACAGCAGACGCACCGCTCGCTACGCTCAACACTCTCGGCTACAGCCCTCTGCCCCTTTCCCAATACCTCTCCATCATCTCTTCCCTATCATCCGCCGCTACTTCTACTCCCCCCAAAACAATCATCATCAGCGTCACAGGCTCTCCAGCCGAAATATCAACCTGCCACAACCTCATCCAGACATTCTCCTCCTCCACATCCTGCCCCTTCCCTCTGGCCATGGAAATCAACCTCTCCTGCCCAAACATCCCGAACCTGCCCCCACCAGCATATTCCTCCTCCTCGCTGACTTCTTACCTCGACGCCCTCCCCTCCAATCCATCCATACCCATCGGCATAAAAATCCCGCCTTACACCCACGCCGGCCAATTCGACTCTCTCGTTGCCTCTCTGCTCGGCACCACCACCACCATCCCCTCCCCTACCTCCTTCTCCATCTCCATTCCTGCCTCCAAACTTAGCTTCCTCACGGCGACCAACACTCTTGGCTCGTGCATTCTACTCGACTCTCTCGACTCATCCGGCGGATATCAAGAGACTCTCCCGGGAGAAGGCATCGGTGGCATGGCGGGGCCACCTCTTCATCCCCTCGCTCTGGGCAATGTGGCAACTCTGCGACGTAGATTCGATCAAGATCCGCGTCTAGTTCACCTGGAAATTATTGGTGTTGGAGGAGTATATAATGGCGAAGGATATAAGAGAATGCGCCATGTGGGTGCTCGGGCCGTTGGGATCGCAACAGCGCTGGGAAGGCGAGGGGTCGAGGTATTTACATCAATAGAGGACGAAATCAAGTCCGCCTGGTGATTGGATATGATTCCACTCTCATAGAGTCAGCTTGCTTTAGAAAGGGAGGGGCAAGATATCACGCCATCACCATGAGTAGTTTCAATGTCAAATAGATGAATATGTGTGCAATAATAACACTATCTACACTGTTCTCATCTATAAGTACGCCAAGCTGAAGCATAAAACCGAACCTTTCTTTTTTTATAAATGCTCCTAGTCTGTATTCTCACAGACAATATCCAGAACCAGCCTCCGTTTGAAATGGGGTATAATGTAAAACCAAGCCAACCATCGCCAAACACCAAAGTCCAACCAATACGTAAAATCTGGGATTTTAGCAAACATATATGCAATGTATGTAGCCCAAGAATAATATCCAAAAGAAGTGAAGGGAATGAAAAAGAAGAGACCGTGAACGTTATCTCTAATCATCCACACTGCCCTCGCTATGTTCTACTTCGAGAGTTGGTGAAGATTTGCGCCGAGAGCCTTGTAACTTTGCGCTCAGACCTTTAGACACCATGCCAATGAATCCGCGCTGGGGCTTTTCTACCTTTTCCGCAGGTCCGGTTTCTCTGAAAAAATCGGTTGTGATAGTAACAGAGTCGGTACCGCCAAGTTCCGCGTCCCCGTCGGCAAGCACCACGTCTAGGGGGCGCTCACCTCTGTTCATCAGTGCGCGGCGGGATGGACGTGGATCGACCATCAGTCGGGCATCCTTTACAAATGTAAGGAACATTGGCAGGGCCATCATGGCCACTTGCATGGCCACGATGAGTATAAAGGCATGCTGCACGGAGCCACCGCGTACGATAATGCCATACATGATGAAGGGGAAAAAAAGAGGACCAGATCCACCCATCGTTATGAAAGCGGCCGCTCGTTTCGTTCTTCTTCCTTGGCCACGCATGCCGATGGCGAAAATAAGGGGCCATATTGGACCCTCAGCAAAGAAAAACAAGCAAGCAGGGATAAACAATAAATTGGTATTAGAAGGTCGTAAAACAACACAAAGGAGAGCGGATATGAAGCAGAGAATGATACTGAAGCAGAGAATAGTTCGTGGCTGGGGTAGCCGAGGATTCTTAACAGATAAGTAAATGAGATAGGTGGCGGCAAATCGCGAAATGGCAAATACGGTGTGGCCAACCGTCAGATAGTCAGCGAGAGAGAGGTTGAGCCCGGGAGGTTGGTCCGGATCAGCTGCATTGATTCCAATAGCCGTACCACCAGCGGCGATCCTCCCGGACCTTGGTTGGCCAGGCAAGATGGAGATGATGAGACTGTTGAAGAAAGTGCTGTTGCTCTCTTGCCCCCCTACGTAAAAGTATTGGGCTACAACAGCCAGGATGAGGCTGACGGTTCGCAGCTGCAGGCCACCGATACTCTTCTTACACGGGTCCACAGGCAGCCGCCTGGTTGACTCCTCAAGTTCGCTGTCACTAACCTCGGGTAACGGCATGTAATAGAAGAACAGCCCGAGCACAACGCAAAGCAGGGTAATGCCAAGATACGTCCACTGCACATTGAGGAGCGTAGTACTGTTGCTTTGGCTGCTCGATTGAACGCCGTTGAGAGAAGTGAAGAACACCTTTTGGGCCAGGAGGCCACTGAGCACGCTGCCCACGGCCTGTACCGCTTGTGCCAACATCAGGCGAGCTTCTCCATACTGCGGGGGCCCGCAGAGCACCATGAAGGAATTAGCAGCAACTTCGAGGACCGAAAGACCAAACCCAACGACAAAGCTACTGATCATGAACCCGCCAAAAGAGTTGGTTACAGCTGAAGGCCAGAAGATGATGGTGCCCGTACCGTAAATGCACAAGCCGGTAATGAATGTCGCCTTGTAACCTCCAATGTTTTCGTCGTCTCGATGACGTTTGAATCGACTATGTTCGTCTCGCCGTAGAATCCATTCACCAACAAGAATAGGACCAAAGAAGTAGCCTCCGCCAAAATACGCGCTCGTTAGGCCAATCGTCTGGGCTGTACTCATGTTGTTTACTGTGGCAATTGCATTATTTAGTGTGTTAAGCAGACCATACGAAATCCCCCACAAAAGGAAGAGGATCGCCACAATTGTGCAGTATTTCCATGATTCTTTCTTATTAGCACGGAGCATGCTCTTAGGTTTAGTCATGTTGACGAAGCCAAAATATATGCCATTTTCATAAGAATGGTCTGTCGAGACCGTGTTAGTTGTGCGAGAGCGGTTAGCAGAGGCATTGGCAGGTCCTCCAAGGGAGGCCATATCGGGGGTGGTCAAGAATTCCATGGCACTCATGGGTGCATCCGGACCAAGGCAGTCGTAGTGTCGACCTCCAAGGGCGCCACGAACAACTGGCTCTGGTGTGGCCACTCCTGGTAAGTTATTGTTGTTAATGTTGCTGTTGTTACTACCTGGCGTCGGGTTCTCAGAGGCTCGTCGGCTCTTTTCACTGCTTGTATGGGGGGTATGCCTGGTCCCGTGGGCGTTAGGTTTGTAAAGCATGGACGGCAGAAGTAGAAGGACAAGGGGCTTCAGAGTTGGGATGCAAGCGCAAGTGATGCCGACATTGACCTCGATAGCACTCCACATCAGCGCCAGTGAGGCGTTGTAGGCAAAATCGGCTTGGCCACCAAATCTCGAGCTAGGGTTGGTGACGGTTCCGGTTGGAGCTTCGGCAATCGCCTGCTGAAGGTAGTAGATTCGAATTACATCCACAACAGCAACGAAAATACCAAGAGTAAAAGTAATGACAAGAATAGTCTTTTGCCGCGAGGGTAGCCGCATGCCAGTCAGGACAGGAATAGGAAGTGCGAGAATAGCAAGATCCGTAACGATGTTGACGGGAGCGGCGCAGATGAATTCGGTAAGTAGAGGGATACACTTGGTCGGACCATTGTAATCTGCGTTCCAAGCAGCTTGTACCGGCCTACACTGGAAGATATTCATAAACGTAAGGACAACCCCTGCAATATTTACAATGATGAGGGTGAGCCAGGAGGCAAATCGGAGAACCATTTGGAGGTTCTGAGTCAGGCGCAGGTAGAATATGAGAATGCTCGTTTTCGTAGCCATCAACGCCGGATTCTAGTATAATCAGTAAACCTAATCTCTGAAAAGGGTCAAGTGAGGCAATTGGCGAAGAGAGGGGTGAAGACATACGTAAAGAATAGAGAAGACATATTCACAGTGGCGGAGAGTAGGGATCTGCTCTGGGGGAATATCGACGTCGTGTTTGCCGAGTCCTTTGGAAACACCGAAGCAGATAGTAAAAGACAAAAAGAAAGAAATGAGCCACGCCAGGAGAATGATCCTATCATCCCAGGTAACTCTTTTGACAATAAAATACCGAGATATCATGCGAGCGAAGACGAAAACTGAGGCAAGGACCAGAGTAGCCGTCGTGACGGCAAAGACGGCAGGTCCACGATTCGCCATCGAACCACCAGGTTCTGAGTCTGAATCCGGATCCATGGCGACAATTTCGAGAGCATTGGGTAGTAGTAAGATGGGTGAGATGGAGATCGCAGTCCGAGTCAGGTAAATCAAAGAGAAAGATGGTAGAGGGGAACCCTCTTGGAGGTAGGTAAAAGGCTAATGATAGTCAAACATCCGACAAGGCCAGGAAAGGAGAGGAAATCGCGAGAAGCTAGCTATCTGGCCCTGATGCGGAGTTTGCCATTGCTTCGTGCTGCCGGGGGGGTTGAATCTAGATCTCGGGTGTCGTCTTGCTTGGAGATGTTGTAGGATGGCCGCAAGAGGACCAGCTATGGAGCAGCAGCGGCGAGCAAGATGAGGGATCTTGCAGGGCCAAAGTCTCCAAGCCTGAGCGCTGCAGCGGCAGCAAGCCGGGAGTTGCACGAGGATATACGCGAGGCCAGTCGGCAAGGGTCGTGCTCGTGGTATCCGACCAGGCCAGTCCGAGGTGGCGGCTGACTCCCTGGCCCGGTATAAAGGAGTCTGTGATTATACCGGGTGGTGAGATTGGGTCTTTTTTGGGGAGGAGAGTACCCTGGACGAGTGTCTTCGCTGCCGCCGGTGCAGACACTACTGGCAGAAACGTTGCTTTTGCAGACTCAGGCGCATCTCTGTCAACAGTCCACGGCCCAATCTGCGCTGTTTTGAAGACGAAGATGTGAGGAAGAGAAACAATGTGTGTCCAAGCAGGGGAGAGGTTTAGAGGTAGAAATCGAGGGCAAGGCTAAGCTTCAATGGCTCCTGCAAGTTGAGTCGTGCTTTGCAAATCCGATCGCACTTGCAGCCAAAAAGCCCAGCAGAAAAAAAAATGCTCCAGATGCGGTCGACGATTCCCCAGCTCTGAGGCAGGTGGCGGGCTTGCACCTGCCCTCCAACCTGCGCCTGCGACTTGCTGAAAGCTACCTGCGATACCTGCAGGGTACTTGGGGTCAGGGCTTGTACAGTACATGGGCTGGCTAGCGGTTGGTCGGTACGAGACCAGCACCCGCCGATGCGCCCGCGCCAGGCTGCGTTTAGAGGTACATGGAAGTATCACACCCCAACCGTTTTGGCGAGGGTGGATGGGTCTATTTTGGAGCAAGTATCGGGTACTCCATCGACATCACGGCTTCTAGCGGCGCGGTAGGCAATTGGCATGACGATTTTTATCTATTTTAGTTTTGCTTAAATTCGTCCACCTTGAGCTATGTGTGCTAGTATGATGCCGGTGAAGCAACTCGGCTATTGAGCGTTTTTAAAGGGAGAGACAAAAGTGTGTGAGCATTCATTTCTCCAATTGGCACACCCACATCCAGTTTGGATACCGAGCTTATGACGCTACAAGTACGCACACCTGCCTATACCACCACCACAGCTTTTTCGGTTCCCTGCAGGGTCAAATAGAGAAACAAAGAAGAAAAATTTTTAACTGCAGAGCCGTGTTAGTGGGCTCCATGATGTATGCAATTCCTAACAGTTCCTCCGCCAGTTCAACCACTTCTGCCACCCAATCCTGCATCGATATATGGCAAAAGAGCGGCGGCAGCAAAGAGGGGTCCTGGTGGCGGTATGCGAGATGCCCCTGTGAGGCGCATCCAGACGCCGGGTTTCATTGCCAGCTGCATCCGGGCCTTTCTGAGGCCATCGCAGCTTGGCAGGAGGACCTGTCAAGGAACAAGTGGGTGAACAGCGGGCAAAGGAGATGCCAGCAGGGAGATTAAGCAGCGCTACTGTGTCTTGTGCCGGTATAAACCCATCAGCGCGCATAAGAGCTGTAGGCACATGACGATGATGAAAAGGGCAAATAGACAAGCAAATATGTCGACGGAGGTTCATGGCGAGTTGCCGCGCAGCAGCAGAGCCCCGTCGATGCGGGCTGCGAACACATCACACAATGGCAAGCATTGCACTACTGGTTTTACCAGCGCCATCCCACTTACACCAAACAGAGTGGCGGTAGACGAGCCCGTGCTGCGTTGTGCTAATGTGAGGCGCCGCTTTGCATGCCTAGTTGACTTGACTCGCCCTCATGTCCCAAAAGGACAAAGAGAGAAAACGGAACTTACGCGCGGATAGCGAGCAAATGGGAAGACTGCCACGAGATGCCCAACGGGCTGGGACGGCAAACTGACGGCTGAGTGTGGTGATACTGAGGCTACTATGCTGGCGGCAATTGTGCCTGATTCTTTGTTCGTGATGAATGTGCCCTACAAGCCACGGAGTACCCGCATGCCAGAACCAAAGCAGCGGTGATGACGGAATACTACTAGACAGGACATGATGCACCCTCTTCGCTCCAAGAGCTGAGGGGCTCAAAAAGGGCTGTCAGAGGTGCTGCTGCATTGCCAGGGCCAGGGCACCGAAGCAGCACCGGCTGGCTCACTCCTATTAGGCATGGATTTGCAATGGTAGCATTCATGTACTCCGTACATGCTGCATGTCGGCTGGCCTAGCGAGCATATGCACAGGGCTCGTCCCGCTCTTAGACACGCAGGTGGAGTTGGGCGCTGCAATGGTGGGTGGCTCGTGTATCTGCTACGTGATGAGTACTTGCATTCCTCTCTCCGTCGTCGGGGACTATCTTGTTCCAACCAATACAGGCTGAAAGACGAGGAATGAGGGATACGAAGATGAAGGGATGAGAGGATGAGAGGATGAGAGGAGGAAGGAAAACCACCTCACCGGCTCGAGAACAGTGTGAGTGCGGCCAACAGCCCGCCATGCCTGCCAGTCGCAGGAGGCCTAGAAGCATTGCGCGCAACAAGTATAGCGGTCTTGGCCACCGGGCCTGGATGCGTTGGAATTATTTGTTTCTCGTTTCAGCCGGCAGCAGTACACAGTGCATGGGTTAATGGGCTTATGTCCCTCGTAAAGAAATGACAAACGGATCAGACATTAAAACAGTTGCTGTTGGTTGGGGTAATGTTCCATTGGCAGAATTAGAAGCGAGGCACATTTGAATATACGCTGTTTACACCGTATTTGCTTGGAAACAGTACTCTGTCTAGATCTTAGCAACTTGTGATCAAATCTACTTGTATATGTGCATGAGTAGCAATACTGATGATAAAAAAAAAGAAAGAAAAAGAAAAAGAAAACAGCTCATACATACATACTAGTTAGTTGTACATGCACGAAACTGACGTACTGGCATCCCAGCGGTGAGGGAGTTGGTTTTTGCGCATAAAAGAGATGCATATCCACTCCTCTTCGTTGGTACCTGTACTTACTTGTATACTACCAACACAAGACTGCGTGCTTTTATCGACGGCTGATCCAGGGATCTACACGCAAAGTGTTACCGCCATCGACTCTAAACATGGCTGCCTGCCATTTCGTGTAGAAAGCCTTGCTCAACGGAAGATTTGACGCATGGCCCTGCCCTGCCCTGCCCTGCCCTGCGTGTGTAGGTATTACAGTAGCACTTTGCTAGTATTGCACAGGTTTAGGGGCCTCCTAGTTGGGTATAATAAATCAGTTCATACATGTATCGAATTGAATTAGGGCAAGGCGGTCCCTGGTACTCTGTAGTTGGTAAGAAATGGAAAACTAAACCAGCGCCTAGCCAAAAAGTCCTCACACTCATCCTATAAACTTGAGCCTGTGTCGTGGTGGCGCAACGCCGGACCGACGGCAACACGTTTTGGGGGTCTCTCCTTTCTCCCTGCTTGGGTGGTCCAAATGCATAGATTGATTGCCTTGTACGAACAATCCATATGCAACATGACATGCAAATGGCGTGTGTGTGTGTGCGCCAAATGGAAGAAGGGAGGTAGAAAGAAGAGAGAAAAATACATGTGCGCCGGGTTCTGCTTGTACATAAAAGGTACGAGTACATGTGCCTCGTTGCCCCATCTGCGAACAATCGGTAAGCGCAGACGAGAGAATTGGTTACCGCTACGACATGTACCTACCTATGCAGATGCTGCAGCCCAAAAAACGGTCAAGGCTTTGCCGCCTCTTCTGCCTCGACCCATTTCTTTTTCTCGCTTCTCACTTTTCATCTTCATCCAGTGGGATCGTGCAATGCAGCATCCGGTACCCTCATTCTTCAGCGGACCGGTGAACCAAATCAAACCATTGTCTAGTCCCCTCCACAAGCCCGCGGCTGAAGCTGCCGAGCCCCACTGTCAAAAGTGCTGCTGGATCCCCATACCGATGGAGACGCGCTTGGGATACGTAATTAATCTAATTATTGCGGGCTAAACACGGCGTCGGACAACTTCTTGACGGTGGCATCTCGCAAAAGAATTGCGGAATATGGAGTATGGAGTATTCTGGCACAGGCTCATGCTAATACTACCAGCAGTTTCGCAAATCTCCTTCCCAACCCCGAGCCCTCGGGACCAATCGTGGCCCTTGTCTGCTCACCAAAAGTGCAACGCCATGCAGCCGCCAGTTGGGCGAGATCCAGGCGTCGGTGTCAGTCAGGGCTGCCAGCGGCACCAGCATGCAGCACTGCTACAGCATTCGTGGCGCCAGCCTCGACCAGACGTCACAGCAACTATGTTTGGCTGAGCAATGAGATGACGGTTCCATGCAGATTGGGCGTGTTTGAGAGCCTCGTGAAATCGACAGCTACTACGTCGCCAGGGGACCTCTGCCCCCCAAGGACTCATCCTACATACTGCTGTACATGCATGTATGTTGTAGTCGGCCAACTGCCCTCGTGTTTCAACTCGGTGGCCTGTCCCAGTCCGCCGCTTTGGGTCTGGCGGATATGGGACCTTGGCCATGGATATCACCCAGCAGCAACATACCTATTCGGCTGCGACAAAAGGCGCGACAAAGAGACAGCGGATTTCCCTTCATCGGCTTAACGGACAGGCCCTGGAGCAAAGCAATGGGGATTTTTGTGATTGACACACAGCTCCATCATCCTGATAGCAGCTGAGATATTCTTATATGAGACTTCTCAGTTGTGTTTTCTCGTATGCGCTGCGACTAGTTGTTACCTACTCCTACAGGCAATTCTACTACTGCTGTTACATTCAGCCGTAGCAGCAAATCACCGTGGGCTTCAGCTAGGCTCCGACCACCACCAGAGCGCCACCAGAGCGCAGAACGGCGGGCAGACAATGGGAGCACCCATGGAATATGGCTGCCTGGACATGGGCACACACACCTCCTGCTGCTGCACACACACAGGAAGAACGCATTCTACGTCTCTCTTCTTCTCGCATTGCGCTTCTTTCGTTTCTATTAGCACTTGGATGTGTAGACCTTGGCCCTCTTCAACCCAGGCTGAATCGGAGCTTGGATCGCTCAAGGACCTGGGAATGTCACTGCCGCCAATCCCAGCCTTCCGGGTAAATCTCCGTCCGGAGTCTGCGCGAACAGGGCCGCAGAAATATCCCCAGCGGCAGGCGGTTCGCCCATCTCAATGCGCCACTTGGCACGAGGCGCGCGCCGAATGTCTTTAGGGCGCTCAGATATGTTCTCGTAACAGCCCCTTTCGAATGTGGCTCTCGCAGGTTCCGGTACATAGTGCAGGCCGTGCTGTTATTACTATCTAGGCAATCGTACAGTCGGAAATAAAGCCGGTCCAGTAAGATGGGCGATGGATAATAGGACGAAAGCCAACCGGTTGCGAATAGGAGCTGCCATTGTGTCTGCCAAGAATCTGCACGCACAAGCGTACATCTTGCATTGCCCGCCGCTGCTGTATGAGGTCAGGCCTCAATCCCCAGCCCGTGATGCGGCTCACATTAGTCTGAGACATGCATTTATTAGGATATGAATATTCCTACCATGTACTCCGTAGTATGCACTAGTTAGTATCTACCTGTACTGTATCTTTGGTCACAATGTCGAATTCCACTACGTTAATGGGACAACATAGCTGGACCAAAAAGGCAAATACCCTACTTCAACCACCACCGCCGCCTCGAAGTCGGCGTTAAGCTCCACTATTCTTTCAACGATCTCTATTTCCCCGCAAATACATAACGCCTAGCCTATTACCTAGTTTGCTCCATATCTTCAGTAGCGAACATCGTCACCTGAATCGTGTTGAGATGAGCTGAACCAGCCAGCTGTCGTGAACTCTGCGGACCCTGCTGCACATCTCGTCTGCCGCGCTGGGACTTCAGGGCCCGTCCGTATTAGACTAGCAATAGTGATGCGATTGGCCTCCCGAAACAAGAACAAGAACGTCAATGTCGGATCGGCGCCCAAAGTGGACCCTCCCGCCGTTAGTAGCAGCACGAAGCGCAAATGATGTTTCTCCTGAGACAGATATTCGGACTAAAATATTACTCGTCGGGTGTTCATGTGCCATTCGTGAGATGAGCTGAAGAAGGCAGAGGTGCTATGTTTAGGCTCCTGAGCGTGCTGCTGATACGGCTCACCATATTGGGCAGAGCTGCTAAGAAGACGTATTGAGCATGTCACAGGATTGTCAAACGCCACAATGATGTATACAAAGTTATAATGCTTCATCACATGAATGTACTATTGTACTATTTCGCGTGAGCCATTCTATGCTTGTTAACCAATAACCTTGAAGCTTAAGCCACGAGTATTTAGAGAAACATTCTCTTTGCCCTCTGATTTCCTCAATCCAATATTTCCCCCTCTTTCTTTCCTCTATTGATGAATTCTCTACGTTGCTTTAATACCATTGTATCGCATGTATTCTGCCTCACACACTACTGCTTACAGCATTTGATTGTGGCTTGCGACTCTCACGCTAGCATCGCCCACTATGCTGCACCTGATGTAGGTAAATAGGCGAATCGATGAAGCGGACATATGTTCACTTTGGGGACGTCACCGGCAGACGTACATAATCTGGCTTGCATCGCAAATGCCCCTTAGACAAGGGAATGCACAAAACACGTGGTGACGGCTTCTAAAAAACGCCACTGAAGCTGCCCTTCTTTCATGGGGGCGTTTGGATTCTGCATGGCCCAAGGTCGCTTAGGAGATTGGGGCATTAAAGATGGCGCTGACTATTGCTTCATGTCCCTTTATGCTTGGGTTGATTCGGCGTAGATTTGTGCTTGGGTGTGATAACCTCCACGAAGCTTTGGGGAAATTAGACCACTTGCTCGTTCAAATCGTAACTGAGTCATATGCACTGTCGATGGTACAAAACGACGTATACAGAAAGTAGATGATCTCTTTTGGGAAACGCTAGTATTTCGTATTCATCAATAATTCAATCACTTTTTGTACGTGTCGTGAATGAAAGAGCATTTTGCGGCGTTGATTCACACATGCTCCTCGCTATTCCCGCATGGAGAACGTGCAGCTATCTTCAAGAGAAATCTCTCCCTTTGCATGTAAAGAGTCAAATTATAGAGAATACGTAATGTTTAGCCTAGTTTAGGTGGTATCCAATCTGCAAGGTACCCGTTGAAGAAAGCGGACACTTGCACTCATTCGATTTGGAGTAGTAATAACTGGGTGGATGATGATGCAGCAAGCAGATGGATGGTTGCCTCCCACATGTATTTCGAAGAGGGAGAAAAAAAAAAAAAGAAAAGATCCAAGAAAAAGCCTGATCAGTAATGTTTATATATAGGTTGATTTATACCTTTTATAATTGCCAACCCTTCGTACTTTGATAAGGGAGAATGAAAGTGAAGTTTGGTCATGCCGCTGTCACATGCCGCGTACTAACCCTGCGAATAGATATACGCTGCGTTGACCTGATTCGCCCAGTCTGTAACCCAAATCTCACAGTTTTAACTCGTATAAAATAAAAGAATCGTAAATGGTAAATATTGTAGTTTCTTGTCAACACTGGATGAAATAGTCGATTTACGACTCTAGAATAGCATAGCTCTGTCTTAGAAAATGTTTTTTGCACAGACCGTATCAAATCAATAATCCCCCCGCATTATGTAACTCTGCCAATGAGCACACCATCGTGGGAGGAAAAAGAAACAAAACGCCAACGCGACACGCATGAAAAAAAAAAAAATCACAACTGACCAAGAATCCCAACGAGACGTCTCTTGGGAGGATAGAGGAACGAATAGAATAGATGGACAGAGACTATCGCGACATAGATAGAGAGCCTCGCATCATGGCCAGCAACCCGTCGGAGGAGACGGCCCTGCTGTCCGGCATATCGGACACGACTCCCATCAGCGACTACGCATCGTCGTCGCAGCCGTATTCGACAGCAGCAGCAGCAGCACGGCGTGGATCGCTCGAGGACGGGCCGAGCCATGCCATCAGCTTCGGTAGAAGCATGTCCATTGCCTTGAGCCTCTTTTGCCTCATCTTCCTTCACAGTACGTTGAAATGAAATTTACTACACTTATATAAATCATCATCACCATCAACTAACACAAAACCTCCCCCCCCCCCTCCAGCAACAAACATGTCCGGCCTCGCCATGATCCAAGGCTCCCTCGCAAAGGACCTCCGCTCCCCCTCCCAAACCATGTGGTTCACCACCAGCTACCTCATCGCCTCCTCCTCCCTGACGCCCCTCGCCGGCAGCCTCGCAACCACCTTTTCGCCGCGGTCCATCGTCCTGCCAAGCGCGGTGCTCTTCTCCCTCGGCAGCCTCGTGGCATCGCAGGCGCATTCCTTCCCGGTCTTTATGCTCGGCAGGGTGGTTATGGGCTTTGGCGGCGCGGGCGTCGTTGTCATGTCGGTGGTGTTCGTCATTGAGCTGGCGGGGAAGCGCCGGAGGGGCGTCATGATTGGGGTTGTGAACACGGCTTATACGCTGGGCGTGTCTGTGGGAGCGGCGGTCTATGGGGTGTTGCAGCCGGTTATTGGATGGGTGAGTTTTTTTTTTTTTCTTGTTCTTCTTCTTCTTTTTTATGTGTGTTTCATGAAAAGCAAACTGCTAAACTAAGGGGGTGTCAACAACAGAGATCACTCTTCTGGCTCCAATCCGCAATCATCCTCCTGGCTGGCTTTGGACTATATCTCAGCCTGCCAGAGTCCATGTCGTCCTCTCGCACTGAACAAGACGGCAAAGCTGTCTCTCTTCGACAAAAGCTCGCCAACATAGACTACCTCGGCGCAGTCCTCCTTGTAAGATCTCCCCCCTATTCCCCCTTTTTTTCATTTTTAACATAACTAAAAAAACACCACCCTCCAGATCCTCACCATCGTCCTCTTCCTCTACTCCCTCGCAGGAGACATCCACCCCACGCCCCTCATCCTCTCCCTCCTCTCCCTCCTCGCCTTCATCGCCGTCGAATTCACCCTCGCCCCCAGCCCAATCATCCCCCTCTCCGTCCTCTCCTCCCGCGGCATCCTCCTCTCCTGCCTCTCCCAGCTCGGCCTCCTCACCGGCCGCATGAGCATCATCTTCTACACGCCCATCTTCATGCTCGCCGTCCGCGGCAGCCCCGCCGCCACCGCGGGATCCGTCCTCATCGCCAGCAACGTCGCCCTCTCCCTCGGCGGCCTCCTCATCGGCTGGCTCCACATCCGCCGCGCCGGCTCCTACTACCTCTCGCTGCTCGTCTCCATCCTGTGCCTCGACGCAACCTTTTACGCGCTGGCCGAGCTGTCGCGCCCGGCGACCCCTTCCTACGTCTTCGTCGCCACCGTCTGCTTCAGCGGCTTCGTCACGGGCATAGTCATCAACTATGCGCTCGTCCACATCCTGCACCTGAGCCACGCCAACACCGAATACGTCACCACCAGCCTCTTTGCTACGTTTCGAGGCTTCGGCGCAAGTTTCGGCACGTCCCTTGGCGGAGGCATCTTCTACCGCGTCCTGCGTTCTGATCTCGTCAGGGAATTCCTCGCCCTTGACGGGACGGCTGAGCTTGGTCCGGCGAGGAGGAAGCTCGTCGACAGGCTGCTTGAGAGTCCGGAACTCGTGTGGCACGGCGGCGAGCTGTTAAAGCTAGAGCCGCAAGAGAGACAGATTGCCGTGGAGGGCTACGCTGATGCTATCAAGGGCGTGTGGCGAGCTGCCGCAATACTGGGGTTGCTCGTCATTGCGGTGCAAGCCGCAGCTGGATGGAAGTCTCCTAGAGAGGAGGCAACCAGGAAGTTGCAGCATGAGCATGAGCACGATGCATGATGTAAATTATATCGAAATGATGTGCTGCTTTTGTACTGATGCATTCTACAGCGATGTTGTCGAGTTATATAAGCATTGATGTTATATACGCGTACTACATACAAGTCACCCAAGTTCTTGTACAGGACCATGTGTCATTATTTGTTTAACATTAAATAACTAAATGCCCAACCACTGCATGACATTGGCATTCTCAAGCCGTGCAACATGCCTGCTATCTAATCCCTAACCCTCGTTCTATATACATATACAAATGGAGCAAGACCAAAACTCCACCCTACTCCCTAATCGTCATATAATACATATAGCAGCCCACATAACGTTTATATTTTTTTTGGTACATAAATTTGTTGAAATTGGTGTGTAAAGTCCTTTCTTTTAAACTCGTCAACGTATATATCCTCTCTGCGGCTAGTAAGTTATATTCTTCTTCATATCAGAGAGAGAGAGCTTGCTATTCATGTGTATGTGCCTCAATATCGTATAATAGAAGTGATAAGATCCGAGGAAAGAAAACAAGTGAAGAAGGTGATGAAAGCTCAAAGGATAAAACTTGGGGAAAATATCCTTTCTCAGTTTTGGCTATCAATCTCATGAAGAATTGCCTGTGCCCGACAAGAAGAAATCAAGCTCGCTCTTCAGTCCACTGTTCTGTCTCTGCTCGTCGTTGGCAAGCTGTTCCAACAAGCTCATAAAGGGATCTTTCTCGTCGCCGCCCGTCGTGCCAGTGCTACCCGTATTGCTCTTGTTGCTTGGGCTAGGAGCCGTAGCGCCTGGAGTGGTCTGGCTAACTCCTGCCTGCCATGTAGCAGGGCTGCCATAAGCACTGGCCGATAATGTTCCAAACATGATGTCGAATCCGCCGCTGGTATCGTTGATGGCTGGCTGCTGAGATACGCTCGGTGCATTCTGGGAAGATGCAAGGTTATAGGTGAATGTGGGACTAAATGGCATGCCGCCCATGGCAGCCATACCTGGGCCTGCACCTGCGTGAGCAGGATGCGAAAGACCAAAGCCGGCCATAGCTGGATGAGAGGCCGAATTGACGTCCACAGTGCTGCGCATGGTGCTCATGTGATGTTGTTGCTGCTGAGGATCCACGTGTGTGGGCATCATCTCAGCCATGGCAGCGACAGCAGGATTTGACGGGGCGGCCATCAACCCGGGCTGCATCGGTATAGTTTGGCGGGGGTAGCTCGTCACCGACATGGTAGGAGTGAGGGGCAGAGGAATGCCCTGGAGGGAGGATTGTGGTGTATTCTTCCGTTTGTGGCTCGGCCTGTTCTCCGTAGGCCAAGGGGATTGCACGTCAGACAAGGGCGTCGGCTCGTTGGAGTAGTCAACCAGTTCGTCCGCCAAGCTAAGGTTGGCTGTGTCGAAGTGGAAAGTTGGTCCGCCGGGCCCTCCAATGTTAGAATATCTGTCGAAAAAGTCCTCGAGCTGGAACCCGGGGGTATATCGCATCGCGTTTCCGGTAAGCGTCTTTACTAGCTCTCGGTGAGCCTCGTATAATCGTCGGAGCATATCTCGTTGGTGCTGAACAATGGCCCAGGTAAACCGCAGATCGCTCAAGAACTGCATCTCGCGTGATAAGAAGTCTGCGGAGGAGCTGAAGACGCTCATCTCGCCGCTGGTGCCTTGCTTGCCGTAATGCGCGCCGTGGATATGAACGGTGCCGGCGGTGCAGATACAGTAGCCGACAAATGACGGCCACTCAATACTCTGCATCTGCCTACCCATTTCTGCCAGCTCTGTGATGGCGTTTGCATGGAAGAAGCACATGTTGGTTGCCTCAATTTGCCAGGACTGATGTTGTCCATTTCCGGCTAATTCGGCGAGGCTGATGGGGAGGAAGGGTCGGTAAATCAAACAGTGAATAAGATGGTAGATGAGTTTGCATAATACGAGAACAGTTGAGTCGGTCTGGCCGAAAAGAACGTCTGTCGAGGCAAAGACGCCATCTGTGCCAGAGGCCCAGACGTCCAAGTCTTGTCTGATTTTGGATAGGTTTGACAGCGAGTGCCAAGGGAAATGTGAGTCGCCTTTAACACCCCCAGCTGCAAGATATCGGTTTGTCACACCTAGGATGCGCGTAATGTCGATGAGCATGCCCGAAGTGCCCTGGGATTTTTTGCCGCTGCCCTGGAAGTACTGCAAATTGGATCCACAGATGAAGAAATCGCCGTTCACAGGCATTCCAGAAACCACTGGGGACCATGAGGGAAGCCGCAGAGCAATACAATCGTCGCCGATAAGTGATGGACGCTTTGAACCAGATGCCGAGAAGCGATCTAATAGGTAACATGACCAGAAGAGCTGTCTTCGAGTTTCCCTTTCCATCGGTGATATGTGTGCCTGTGAGTCCATCTCACGATGGAGTTCGAGTGCCATGATCATGCCAATAGCGTTGGCTATATCCCAAGTCAGATATGCTGTTCCTTTACAATATAATAGAGGCATAAAACGCGAAAATTGGAAGAGGGGCGTATGCACGTACTTATTAGCATGAAAGCTTTCCTCCCCTTGCCTGAGGCGGTATATGCAATCGCCAACAGGACAATTGCTTGGAGATTGTCAATGGAAGGCTCATCGATGTCGATGGCGCTCCTAGCACGAGAGGCATAGTCATCGCCCAGTTTGACAGCTGCTCGAAACCCATTGGGATGCGGTGTATGCCTATGTGAGACGTGAGAAAGACGGTCCGCAGTAAACTGAGTACGAAGGCAAAAAAAAAAAACGTCAGAGGATACGTTGAGTGGGATGAAAACGTACCTTGCGGCGACGGCGGCAATGGCGTTGAATAGAAAGGGGGGAAGCTGGTTGAGTTGGATGCGTTTCCGGATCAATGTTTCATCCACGATGTGGAAAGGCTTGTTGTGGAAGCGATTGAAATAGGTATCGAGAAGAGCATCTGTCTGTACGGCAGGTGTGGCGGGGTCTCTATTGTCGTGATTAGTATTCTATCAGTATTCAATAAAGATGATGCCAATGCATATAAGGCGAGGAGAAACCCACCCAGTCGTCGACGTCTGTGGGGAAAAAAGCGGCAGCTCTGTGACATTAGGTGTTGTCATCGCCATCGTCTTCTCCTCAGTCGCCCGTCGCTTGGCAACAGGTTCTATGGCATCTCGCTCGGCTGGCTGCCTCTTTGTCGATGCTTCAGCTGCTGGAGGGTCTTGCGTCGTCGATACTGACGAAGACGATGGCTGTTCGCTCTCGGCATTCTTCTCCTTCAGCTTGGCTTCCAACCCGTCCACTCTTTTCAAGAGAGCCTCCAAGACGTCAGTCTTTGGCCCTCGCTTCTTCGGTACGGCATCTATAAAGGACCAATAGTATGAGCACTTGAATTCAAAGTCTAAAAACCGGGTTGCAGTGACGCTGATGTATTCAAAATTCGCTCGCGGCTCCCAGATGAAATCTCACATTCCCCCCTTCGACCCCGCCAAAAGGAGGTAGAATTAGAACTTACCGTATATACACGGGCATTGAAACACCAGACACGCCTCGCAAGAAGGACGAAGACGATTACACTTGATCTAATTCACAAAACAAAGAGGAAAGACTCCGTGTCAGACGAGAAGCTTTGCGCACAGTAATTTATAATCATGGTGGGTATCAAATAGGGGAGCGGCGCAAGAACAGCCAAGAGGGGAAGCGTTGAAACTGAAAACTCACCTTTCGCTTCCGGCACGACTTGCAATTCATCGACTCACGAGGCTCCGAGTTGACGTTCCGCGCAGGCAAGCGCTCAATGCCAACCTGTGGCCGCTGCGGCGGAAGAGCCACGGGCTGGGCCGCAGGACGATGCGGAGCGTTCATTGCGCTGCTGCTGCTGCTGCTTCTGCTGCTGCTGCAGACGCGCGGGCCGAGGCTGCGGGTGCGGTGCGATGCCGGCGCACGGTTGACGACGTCCCCAGCGGCCAGGGAAAAGGGACGGACGGACAAGACAGATTGGCGGAGAAAATAACAAGGTCAAGACGGTGAGAGGCGAGCGAGGCTGCGGGCGGCGGGCGGACGAGGATTGGCGGCGCTGAGAAGAGAGAGAGGAGACGCTTTCCGGGAAGACGTGACGGGACAAATGGTTTCCGCCTTTACAGCCCTAGCGGTTTGCGGGCTACGAGGATGTCACCGGCCTGGTCTGCGACTCATTCATGGCCGACCACGCTGTTTCGAGGCTTCGTCGATTGGCGGGCTGTCGCGTAGAGCAGCAACAAGTATGGAAGTAGCTGCAAGATCTGGATGGATCGACGTTTGGTCTCGAGACAGGACACTCGCAGCTCCAGACCCACTGCCAGTCGTCAAAGTCGAGATGCAAGAAGGAGAAGACGCAGCAGATTCGGGGCAGCAGCAGATTGGCCACCTACACTGCGATGGCTGCTTGGAGGCGAGGGATGAATCTCTCAAACTGTGCAAAATAGGTCGAGTTTCCAGACTCGGCCTCGTGCCCTTGGGGAAACAAAAGGCTGTAGGTGTCCGAGATTCAATTGTTCCTTGCTCGGCGTCTTTCCCCCGATTGGCACCCACCATGGAGAGAGCTGCGGGTGGGCTACGCCTGTTTAGTAAACCGTGCTTCTGGCGCCCTATGAACTAGGGATGCAGCATAGAAGGGGACGAATCTGGGAATGCCTCACAGACAACTCCAGGTCGGAACCGGGCTAGGTCGCTTTTAGTGGGCAGCCACCCCCATTCCGCCCATATCGTTGATTATGTTTCTGGCCTGCCCTGCCCGCCGGCCGGCCATACGAAGCGGTGCTCCGCAGTTTGAGAAGGCTGGAGCCACCCCAGGCTCCTTGGAACTAAATTGAAGCCGAGCCTACGCTGCTTCTCGGAACCCTTGACTATGAGACAGGCAAGCGTGCGGCATGACAGAAATACTAGTGGTTGTGAAGGCAGTCAGCCAGACTTTGGTTGGAATACCGTGAGGCTTTACAGGTTACAGACAGCAGTGACTTGACGCCCAGGAAGCATGATGGGAACAAGAAGGCGACGGTGTTTGACCGAAGCATCCCTACCAAACGCCCGCGAAGCACCAGTGTGTGATTCAACAATACCACATGCACTGAATGTATGTATACCTACGATAGTACTATTTCGGAGTTAATACCGGTACTGTGCTCATCTGGTAACTGTTACGAGAGCGGATTTCCAACAAGAGCATGTCGTGGCGGCCGTCAAGCCCATCTCTTCATGCAAGTGAGAACGGCGCACCATCCCACGTTCTCGTGTCTCGTGAGAGAAGCGACGGCATGACATGACATGATATGACATATTTCTGGACAGCTGCTTTTCGTTTGGCCCTCGCCCACCGAACGGAGAGACCAGGCCCAAGCGGGTTTGCATTGAGCAAGCAATGCAATGCAATGGACGGCGATTACAGCAGCACTATCGTCAGCCCCTCAGGACTAGCTGTCTTGGATCTATGCCTCCAAGTCCTGTACCTCCCTTTGCAGCAGACCACACCGGGTATGCCGTCAAGATTCCATCGGTCGAAAAAGATCTCGAGGCTGGCCTGTGTATTGCCGCATCAGATCAGGCCCGCTGGCGGTCTCATCTCACCCATGAACCAGGGTCTGTTTTCTCCATGCATGCTAGTGCCACGCTGGAGTCGCACCGGTTCAAACCTGGCCCAGGCACAGGGCACGCACAGGGCCTCTCCTTTTTGATGACAGGCCCGCCCAACTGCCGAGCAGAAACCGGGCCCAGCTCATGCTTTCTCTGCTTCGCGCGCTCAGACGAGTCGTGATTCCGATTCCTGAGTTCCTGAGTCGGGTGCTGGCAGCTGCAGCTACTATGTTAAGCTCTCGCTTACTCACGCCTCGCGCCTCGTTGATTGCCCCTCACGACTAACTAACTGTACGGCACAGTAGCACATGGAACTACTACTACTGCGCTGTACTAACGCCCAGCCCGTGCTCTTTAGCACGCTCGCCCATTCCTACTGGGTGCCCATATTGTGGGGGTGGCTGGGGTTCGTGCCGCCTTCATCGACCGGCATGGCTGTCACAAGCAACTGGAACTGCTGGCCGTGCCCTGCAGAAACTGCTACCGTACCGTGAGCTCCATTTTAGCCCAGCGAAAGGTTCCCGGTAAAGAGGGCTAACTTTTCGAACTCGTCTTATTTCTTATTGTTCCTTTTTCTTCTTCTGTTTGACAGGGGTCGCCTGGCCATGCCTAGAACCACACACACAAGTAAACCCGACTAGAGCCGGGGCTGTTACTTTCGTACTAGGGACTATCTGCTACAATGTAACTGATACTGCGCCTACAATATTACAGGACCAGTTAAAAATAAAAAAAGGAGTCAAGAGAACCTAAACACTTTGCAGACTTGACGACAACAACAAAATGTCTTCCGCAAAATTGAGCTCGAACCCCCCTCCGTGCTGTCAAACTGAGTCAGCTAAAACACCAGACGCATCAGAAACTAAATCTAATCAATCGATCGAAACAGGCCTCGGCCGTGCGCGCACGCAACACAGGGGGTCTCTTCTGGTTTCTCCTTTGCAAAAAGCGCAAAGATCGTTACAGGTACCTCCACTTTGTGGAAGCTTTTTCTCTTTTCCTTTCCTTTTTCTTTTCTTTTCTTTTCTTTTCCTTTCCCTTTTATTTTCTTCTTTTTTCTTTAATACTTGTTGAAGACTCCTTTTCCATCTCGGCGGAATTAATTCCACAAAAATAATACTGCTAGCCATCCGCCTTCCTCCTTGAAGATAGTAGATAATATGTCTAGGCCTAGGTATACGAAGTGCATATACGGAGTCTAAACGTATAGAGCGCGAGGTTCAAAAATTGCACAGTCATGGGGCGGGTATCAAAAAATAGTGGCAAAAGTGGTTCAATATTCAAGGGACTCGGCTAGGCTGAAGCGCTAACTCGGGGAATCCAGCTCCTTCCTACCTGGTTAATAGCAGTACCCAGTATCGTGTATCTCACCCCTAGGGGGAGAAAAGAAACGCCCAGCTACTGTTGGCAATGACTCGCATCTGGAAGAAGAAGTCGATATTTCCGGAGCAATGAATGGTACAGTAATATTGTACGAGAATCTCACAAAGAGAAACCGGTTTTGCGTCTCTATTAATAATCCTCTTTCTAGGTAGATTATAAGGTTAATAGGAGATCGTTGCAGAGGAGATCCGACTGCCATGAATACTAATATCAAATTCCATGCACTCCGTGTCAATCTCCGCTTCCAGCTTGTCTTCGCAACAGCAGCAAGCTCAGCAGCATCTATTTCCGCGAGAAATGGCAAATACCTACTTCCTCCCCCAGCCCGCGCTTAATGTCGCCAAGCTGCTACCTTGTAGCGGCGGTAAGAATACCGCGCCAGTTCGGTGGGCAAATCGCGTAGCCCAGCAGGGCCGTACACTCGGCATAGTGCAATGCATGCTGATTCAAGACCCTTTGAAAACGGGGAGTGTCCGCGTGCCACCTCCCGTGTCAGCTATCGAAATCCTCAAGCCGCAGACAGGCCGTTGTAAGCACGATTTGAATAGAAGGGAAGGGAGAGCAAGCGAGGTATGAGGTAGTCTGGAGATGGCATTGGACAAAAGAGCGGCTGCAAACAAAGACATGTGTATGGCTCGCTTCAGTCAGCGCTTATTCCAAAGCGCATGCATAGCTGATGCTACCTTTCGACGCCATGCCGTTCGTCTAGCCCACGGCATTGACTCGGAAGATTAACGTCCTAATAAGCTGGTGCCCAGTCCAACCCTATCTCGATTCCTGATAGTACTACTTACTAAGAGATAGGTAAGGTATATAGATAGATACCTACACAGGGTATCATGCCTAGCCTACTTGTAGCAGTTCGTGAATACGAGGCCACTTTACCTACTCCAAATCGAGGTCTGCAGATACTCCCGACATAGGTAGGGAGCTATGATGCTACAGGCAAAAAGACCCCTAGCTATTTGGTAGCTTAGTAATGATAAAGACGAACCAGGAATAATACCAGAGCAGCAGTCGACAAGGGGGGAAAAAAACACCCACCTTCCGTACAACGCAGCATGTCTTTCAGTATTCATTCGCCCCTCTGAAAGGATATAAATATCTGCAATCGGGATTCTTTGGTCAGCGCTTCCCTTTTTTGCTGTAGCACAAGCACCTACTCGTAGGGCGGCGCCCCTCCTTTTTCGCCCCTCGCCTATCAAATCCCTACGTCTCTCAATCTTGCCCAATGCAGTGCGCGTGTAAGCTGACCGTTCGGGGCCGCTTACGACACAGACCAGGGGGAGCACAATGCAAAAGATTCAATTCCGAGGACCTTGTTGTTGATTTGAACTAGGTTTGTGTTGTGTCGTATATCAATATTTAGTAGATACATATTCAGGTAGGTCTCCGTCGTAATGATGATGATGCCGGTATTAATTCCGCTCCCCAGCTGTAGATCATCCACGTTCTCTGCAGCTCCGTATGCAAATGCAATCTCCGATATCAACCCGAACCTCTCTCCTTCTCTTTCATCGGCTATATACAGCGTGTATATCTCCCGTATACAATGGTATATATATAAAGAACAGAACAGAACAGAACAGATAGTAGAAAAGAGAGAGAGAGAGAGAGAGGGAAAAAGAGTAGGAAAAAATGCATATATCATCCTTCCTCCCTCGCGGCAATACGCCATGTATCAATGCATGCCCTCTGTGCTGGCCACTGGTTTCGATCCCAACGCCACAGATGCAAATACACCAAAATAGAAAGAGGATACCGACCATCTTCCATGTCGGCCTTTCCCGAAAAAGAGTAAAATTACAGGCAAGAAAACAGCTCAGTAGACAAAAGTTCCTCTCTTTTCTCAGCGCTTGCCCCTTCGAAACGAGGATTAGGCCATTTCTCAGTGGGTATTATAATATCGGCCAAATCCTTTTGCAGAATCAAAATCGTTTTAGCCTCTCAGAACAAGTTCCTCCCGCTTGCCAGTCGTACGAAGCTATATGGCACGTTTTGGCCGACGAGCAGCCGTAGGCTCTCGACGGTTGTAAAGGCCGCAACGTCAGCCGCATCGTATGCGGTAAACCCACTCTGTTCGGCGACTACAACAGGATCGTTCTTCTGCTGCGATGCCGCCTCGGCCAGGTTCAAAAAGACCTTTTTCGTGTTCGATGACGTCTCGGGATCGGCCTCTCCAAAAACTCGCAGTAACATGCCGACGATGTTGCTCTTGCCTCGGCCAAGTGCTGATATAATAACAAACGGCGCTCGGTTGTCTGCCACAGATCGGGCACGCTGAAGACTTTCCATGCTGATGAATTGTTCGATCGGGGGCGCGTTTCGGGCTAACGTGGAGGGCGTTCTGAAGCCGACAGTGTATATCTTTGACATCTTGAGAGCTTTTAATGCAAAGAAGACTGGCGCAGCGTCGTCGGCGGTCAATGCCAGCACCACTGCGGTGCGGCCAAAGTAAGCGGAGGGGGCTAAATCACGAGTTAGTGTAGACAAGATGCCTCTCCAGCTGGCATTGTCAAAGACTAATGAAGTGTTCGAGGCCAAGCCCGGCTGCCCTCCCGGCGGCAGAGCGCCCTCAAACTGAGAAGGCGGCGTCGTGTTCAATCCTGAAGTCGCAGGCTTCACAACGATTGTGTCGATGATACCGATCCCCTGTGCCGCCTCGGACAATATTGGTCCTTTGCCGTTCTGCAGCGTCGAAAACCAAGGATTGTGTCTCATGATGGTCTGGTATGACAACCCCGGGTCGAGATAGGCACCTCCAAAGTCCCTCTGATTGCACCATGCCTGGATGCCTGCCGGGTTATTGTGCTGGCGCTCTACCACAGCAAATTGGTGCGGTAGTCCCAGCTCGTTGAAACATTTCTCGTAAAAGGGCGCTCGCGGGGCGATGTTCCGAGCAGCAGCGCTGCTGATGCCGTAAAAGTACTTCTTTGGAAGCTGGCCAAGCAGTGCCAGGGCGCCGTTGATCTCGGCCGTGCTCATCTGCCCAGGAGCCGCAATGATGGGAAGGAGGGGGTGCGTGATGGGCGAGAATACCGTGTTCAGCGTTCTTGAAAACTGACCGATTTCGCCCATATTGACAGCCGAGAGTGGCGGCGCGTCTGGATACTCGGCTTTTATCTTTGAGCGGAAGTACTCAAGCTCAAAGTTCTCGTTGTGGTCGTTAATTATGGCAATCATCTTGACAATATCGGCGTACTGCTTGGATTTTACGAAAACCTCCTGTGCGTATTGTGACGGCCACTTAAACGTGCCCGAGAAGTCGTGGAATGCAGACATGATGCGAGAGTTCCCCCTCTTTTCGTATAGCTTCTTTCGAATCTGTTCAGGCAGCCACAATTCAACATCGATATACTCCACACCCCACTGGACGGCCCGGTAGAGGTATTCATAGTATAAGTCGGGGTTATCCATGGGAAACTTTCCATTTTCTTCTGTGCATCTGGTGGTGAAAATGATGGGAAGCTCTGTTCTCTGGCGCAGCAGCATGACCTGTTGTCCAACGTAGCTCAGGCTCGGGATGTCAGAAAAGCCACCGTCGCCCTTGGGCTCGCGTAGAAGATCCACACGGATCTCAACCGCATCCGCCCCAACGGTGAGAATATCCAAGTTGGGAAGAGCCGCATGAACGTCTGGAAATGTGGTGGAGATGAAGAATGTCCTCGATTTGGCCATCAGCTGACTGTGCGGGCTGGTCTGACCCAATGTGAATGAGATGAATCGCGCGAGGTCGCGCCTAGAGAAGGGGGTTTCGGTATAGAGAAACTCATAGTCGCAGTGGATCGAAAGATGCAGGTCGGGAGGCATTCCTAGGTCAACGCAGTGAGCATTAATCGCCACGAGGAGCTGCTGGTCCCTCTCTTCCACATCCTGTTTGGCGTCTCCAAGAGGCAGACCAATAACAAAACCCTCGTCCTCACGATCAACATCTTTAAAGTGCAGCTTCAGCTTGACTGGCTTCCCAAGAACCTCTGCGAAAACAGAGACGACGTTCTCCTGCCCCTGCCCATACACAATGACGACTATCCGAGAATCCCCCGTCTGCGGCGCGCCCTTCATCAATCCGCTGTCAATCATAACCGGGTCATTGCCGGTGCTGCTGTCAACCTCCATGCTGCTAGACTCCGAACTATCGTTGTTGATTCGCTGTGAAGGGACGGATGCTGGCGCAGGCGATGGGCTTACCAGCAATTGCTGGACAGCTGCCATTGTATGAGTGATGCCGGGTTAGCTTGGCCCGAGCGATGAAAACTGACAGATCCCTCGAGCTCCAGGCGGTCGGCCCTTCCGGTAAAATGCAAGACGCCGCCTGCAGAGCGTTTGTTTTGTGTCTTTTAGCGGCCCTGGCAAACTCCACGTTACATGTACAGTCTGTGCCCAGGGGAGTCGAAAAATAGATGGCCCTAGGGACTTTGAAAGGATGAAGTCTCTTCCAATCCCAGAGCGCCAATGGCCAAGGGGCTCTGGTTAGTGTCGCGGGCGACGAATGCGCTCCTTAGCTGTGATAGGTACAGCGAGCCAGGTAACTGAATCCGCGAGGTCGGCTAAACTCCGAGTTTCGACTAGGCAGCAGCTATTCGCGAAGAATGGCGTCTAGTAGGCTACAAATGAAGGTCTCAGAAGGCCCCTGAGGAAGACGAAACCCCAGTTAAGGCAGGTCGCAGCAACAGAAGGATTGCGATGCGGGCGGTGTTCGTCTATCGACAAAATTGTGGCTCATGCAGGCAGCCGCTCCAATAAGCCAGTAGGAGCACCGACTGACAACCGAGGGGCCGGATAGTCTCCGACAGCTGTGATACGAGAAGAGAGAGAGAAAGATCTTGGAAAATTCTAGCGTCAGTGGCGAAAGTAGGCTCAGTTTTGCCAGAGATGGCTTGCCGCCGGCGAAGCAGATGGCAGATCGCAGGCCTTAATAAGAGGAGCCCAGAGGATTCGACTCTGTGCAAGTAGTATACGCCGATTAGAGACCAAAACTAAAGAGGATCCCTTTTTTTCCTCTTTTGCCTGAAAAGCAGTGTAGGTCCCTGGCACCTCCTTGGACCAAAGACTTACATGAAGCGGAGGCGTTAGTTAATCTTGATCCTTCCTATAGGCCAGAAGCGAGACCGAACTCGGTGGTGTGCCGCTCGTTTATCGGGTGGCCTTTCGGGCAAATAGCTGCGTGTAGTCGTAGTCGTAAGATGTTAATCGGCCCAGGATCTAGGCTTAACGGTCGGTGGCTCGTGATAAAAGCGAGAGCAGAGCAGTCACCATAATTCCCCCCCAAAAGTCCTTTTTTTCCTCTTTAGTCTCCCTCTTTCTATTTTGACCCAAGTTAGATTTCCACGGATTGCGCCCTGAGGACGAATTTGCAAACCTCTTCTGCAGTTCACTAGACGCTGGGTGATCGACTGAGAACACAAGGAATACAAAGGGAGGCGAAAAATCTAGAGCGAGAAAGCAAAGCCCTGGACAGAGGCAAAAGATGTTTGGTGATGGAGACGGACGAAGAGGCAGGATGCGCCTAGAGCAGCGTTCAAGGCGCTTGGCGCTGCTTGGCGACTTTATGCGATAGATCACACGATAGCAGCAGCGCGCAACGCAGCTTTGCAACAGAGCCGGTGCCGTTAGACGGGATGCTGGGCCCAATGCGCCAGGACTCCGCGAGAAGGATTTTGTTGATGTTGAAAAAGAGCCTGTACTTGGCTAGCAAGCCAGCGCAGCGTGGAGTTTTGCGCTCCAGTCATGTTTCCGTCCCAGCGGTCCCAGCTTTGGTGGGGTGCACCGCAAATCGTCGCTGCCAACCCCAGCGCGGGAGCCGCTGGAGCTTGCGCTGGAGCAGGGCCTGGCTAGCGCGCTGCGCCGTCCGGAGCGAAGCTTTTGGGCCTGTGCTGTCTGCTACTGTACTTGGCGGCTTTAGCGAGATCAGCCTTGCCGCCGCGATTCGCTTTCGACCCACTACCAGCGCCGTCTACAGGGCCTTTCTGCAGCGCCGGAGCGCAGAAATTCTCCCTATTTGCCAGCGCGTTTTGGACGCTGCAATTCTCCGCCAATCACGGCGCGAATCCCCCGCATAGCTGGCAGAGATTACCCCCCAATGAGACGGGCGCTCTTTAAGCTCTCCATATTGCATCACCTTCAGCGCTGGCGCTGGCGCAGTCTATCTTTGCGGAAGTACGGATACTGGATCCAGCCAAATTTCCTTGCCATCTCCGTAAGCAGTCGTCCTCCTGCTTGGGGCATAAAATGAGCCATGGAATACTGCTACGGGGCATAGGAAGCACGAAGGATGGAGAGCGTATGATGATGCCAGTACCATCACCCAGAAATGCTAGGTGATAGATAGGCAGGCACTAGCATTATTATTGTGCTACGTATTATCTAATAATTTGTCGTTGCTCGTATCCTCTAGTGTCAGCAGGAGTTTTGCTCTTAAAAAGAAAGTACTGCTGTTGGTATTAGTGAATGCCGCCAAAGTCCAAGCCGGAGTAATTCTCGACCACGTATCAAGTCCCCACGGAGCACCGAGAAGCGCATACAGATACGCCTGCCTGTACAGCCTCTCCTGTGATTACTACCAGTGCTATACTGCTAGCATGTAATGCCTTTTCGCGGAATACCGCCCTCCCTCATCCCCTATCCTTTCCCCGTCCGTTTCGCGGGCAAACTCCATCAGGAGAATGCAAGTCCTTCCTATCACGTCTGTTGGAAAAGCGATGTCAGGGCTGTGCTTCAGACTCTGACCAGGAGGTGCTGTAATTTTTGCAGCACTAGCGTTGAGTTGATTCTTTTTGGTAAATATCGTCTCAGCTACTAATTACGATCCCCTG